CACAGACACAAATTATCATCACTTTTTTAAATTTTTATATCACAAAAAACCCTTTTCTATAAGATGTGCTTGCAATAAAGTAAAATGCATTTTCCATTGAATTAATAACATAATAAGTGCATTTATTCACTTAAGTCTTAATAATTTATTCATTGTCTTATTCAGGGTCCAAGTAATAATAAACATGACTAGACTCAGAGTCCTTACCATACTTACAACATCACAAGCCAGAATTTTGTTCATAGGACATGCTAGCCCCATCATTTATACACTGTTTCGCCAGTCTACAGAGGGACAGCAGGATGAATGGACAAGGGTAAATCTAAATCTATATGCCCCCTTATAAATAATAGGAATATAACAATTATTATCATCATTTAACAAATAGTAAAAAACCTTCTTCTTTTTTCGGACAATCACTGTTTTCTGTTTCCACATCATCACTTCTTGTGTCATCTGTTGTTATATTTGGTTCCTCTGAAAGATTGGTACCAGCAATGCTTGAAGCGGGAAGCTGGGAACCAGAATCTTGTGACATCACACTTGGTGATGAAGCTGGTTCTAGGCTCTCTGTTGGAGATGGCAGAGGTTCTTCTACTGTGGGTTGCTAAAAAAAAATTGGTTTTTTAATCTTTAGTTTCTATTTCTATTTTTAGCTCTGGCAACCATCATATTCAGACTGGAACCATTTCAGCAACGTTTGTAAAGGAGAGTACAAAGATCATTCCTGTATACATGAAGTTTCATAACTATTACTTAAGAGATTTAGAAAGAGAGATGCTGTTTAAGTAAAATTGTTAACTAAACATGACAGGCAACTGATGTGGGACACAAAGTGATCACAAAAGTTCACTTTGAACATGATGTGCTGCAGTAATCTAAAAATATCTGATAAAAATTAAACCATATAAATTACACTTCAATCTAAGAAAAAAAATATGATTATAACATTAATATTTTATGTTTTCAAGGAAAAGAGAAAAATATAAACAATTAATTTCAATGTTAAACATACATCCAGACTTTCAAGATTTGACCATGTGACTGACTTCTTTTTCTTCATATGTAGACTCATTTTACGTTTTTTAACTTTAACACGGCTGTCTTCACGAAATATTTCACCATACAACTGCCATGTCCAATTTCTACCATCTACAAACAACAAAATGAAAGATTTCAATATAAACTATCACAACTTTATCATGGTTAAATATAGTACATGTAATTCTACTGTCATACTTCTTTAGCTTCAAATTGAGAACATTTACTTTTGTATCATTGTCAGGGGCAGCAAAATCAATTGTCCATATTGCCCAGGTTGTCCAACAACCTGTGTGGACAAGCCAATTTTTCTCGGAAATTCTCTTTATAAATATCATATGGACAATTAAAAAAATTATGCTTCACATAAAATGGGCAAGTACTGTAAGTCAAGTTCAGATTTTTGTCAGCCCTGATTGTGACCAAAGTTTATTTGAACCTCTCTTCTCTTATCATTTTAAGGAATTGTAACAAAGCTAAGGAAATCAGGAAAAAGTGCTTCAAAAATTGTCTTAATTGGGTATTTTAGAAAATAAAATGCTATAAATGGAATGTAGTAAGTGTACATGTCCAACTTTGCTTACCTGGAAGTTTCACTGTCACATCACTATCTGCAAATGTAACATCACTGTCTCTTAAAAGTTCATTTGTTATGTTTTCTATCTTCAATACCATAATAACACTATCTTCTGTCTGAGACCAATCATATTTTGGAGCTAAAAATATAATAAACAACAATGATATCATAATACATATTTGAGCCGCGCCATGACAAAACTGACTTAATGCTTTTGCAACCAGCATGGATCCAGACCAGCCTGCGCATACGTGCAGTCTTATCAGGATCCATGCTGTTCGCTTACAAACCCTATAACATGTAGAGAAACTGATAGCGAACAGCATGGATCCTGACCAGACTGCGCGAATGTGCAGGCTGGTCTGAATCCATGCTGGTCGCAAACGCATTATGTTGGTTTTGTCATGGCGAGGCTCATATTTTTTAACTAGAAATGTGTACATATGACACTGATGTCCCTATTTCATCTGTCGTTCACACTGCTGTATTTACATACCAAAACATTATTTACATATAGTTAGACAAGAATTTACATCAATTATCACTATGATCATGACCTCTGACCTCCAAATCAGACAAGGATTTTGCATTGCAACTAATACCTTGACCTTTGACCTAATATATCAAAATATGTATCAAAATCAATAGTCTGAATAGGGCTCATTTAGTGGCTATAAGTGCAATGTCCTTACTCAGTTAATACAAATCCTTACTTGGTCTCAAGTTATTGATAGAACAAAGATTTTACAGTGTCACTGTGACCTTGACCTTACAATCTCAAAATACAGTGTACCTAACCTGTTACAGTACAAATATGACCCTAAAGACATGTGTTAAAATTTAAAATAAATACTGGGGCTACCCGCTTACATGTATACCTATTACAGGGTGAATACAGTAGATACAGTGTTACAGAGGTAAATCTTTCAGAAAATAATCAAGAAGCCAATGCCATGATTTTTTCCATGACAAATTAATGTCCATCAACATTGAGGTTTGAACAAAAAACAGAACTACAAAGTATGGAATTATATCTTTAACTAGAAATGTGTCAATAGGACACGGGTGCCCCAACACTACACTGTTTTGTCAATCTAATGACTCTAAGTCAAATATTATTTGGACTACATGTGCCTCAAGTTGAAAACTTAGAATCTTAAAGGGCAAGAATGTAATGGGCAAGGACTTTTTAAATACTGAATAAATTCACAAGCAAACCCTAAGGTGCATAAGTACACATGCTGACCAACATTCTTGTAAACTTTCAGGCCTACAGGTAAAATACTTTTTGAGCTATGCTTGAACAAATTGAAAATTTAAAATTTTTACTAAGTCAAGGGCAATAACTCTGACAAAACAGAATAAATCAACAAGCGAAACCCCAGGTGCACAACTTCACATGCTGAGCATCATTCCTGTAAAGTTTCATGACTCTAGGTCAAATACATTTTGAGCTACATGCGACACAAGTTGAAAATTGCAAATTTTTACTAAGTCAAGAGCAATAACTCTAAAAATACATGTTCTAAATACTGTAAAATAACATGTCTCACCCTAGTTTCCCAGCCCCTGTTTTTTAACATTTGTAAATATTCTTTTATCCACTTTTAAACAACTCTTTTTAACTTCCTTGCACTTTTTGATGCGCAGACAAGTCTACGTTGCCGCGAGGGATTTGACATTAACAGAAGAATTAGATAGATAGGTAATGGTAGAGACCTAAAGGGAGACTTTTTTTTTGCTTTCAGTTGGGTTTCATGTTGCACCAACACAGTATAGGTCATATGGTGGCTTTCAGTTTTACTGGTGGAGGAATACCTGTGGAGGAATACCTCAGGTATTAACCCTTTGTGCATTATTTCAGGTACAAACGGGCACCTGAGTGGAACCACCAACACTCCGTAAGCTAGCTAGATAGCTTTCTCACATGAAAGGATTCGAAGATGCTGGTGCAAACTGAACCCACAGTGGTGAGAGGCAAGTTTTTTGAAATCAATAACAACTTTAACCACTCAGCCAAAAATGGAGAGGTGATTTAGCGGTTAAGGTGTCTGTCTCTCACCCAGGGATCATGGGTTCGAGCCCTAATCAGGTCATGACCATGTTTCTTCATATAACACCAGTACTAGTTGGTTCCAGGAAGTGGCCTAGAAAGTGATTAATATAAGTTGCAAGGACTTATTTCGCAATCGAGCTTAAATAAAATATGTTTAAACCAACCACTCAGCCATGAACACCCCTCTAGACTGTTTAATTTAGTCTCAATATTTCGACCGCAAGACTTTACAAACTGATATTATACAGACATCGGAAGGGCGACCATTGTCTATATAATAAAAAGCCCTTAAGCGCACAATTTGTTGGGCTAGTTCTAATGTATACAGAAGTATTACTGTATATTTCATTTAGTATCACACAAGCACATCCTCTGAAAATGTAAGTCTAAGCATTTAAATAAAATTGAAATATATATTTTCCTGGTCAAAAAAGAGGTTGCAGATCTTCAGTTATCTTATAAGTTATATAGTACTCCCCGCGGGTACTGCGTCCTTGCCCATTCCGGTGCAATCAGAAAATGTGTTTCTTTACACACTGAACATGGCCAATCAAATGTTTCCACCATTAATGTGAAAGTGGAAGTACTGCTTTTTTGAATTTGGATAAAAATTGTTAGAAATATTTTCATTTTAAATAAAATTCTGTCATTGATAGGAAAATCCAAAACTACCCGAGTGTGTTGAAATTTCTTTTTTATTTTAACCCACAGTTACCAGTTAAACTGATAATTTCATGTTCTGACAAGTGAAGGTTGTCTGCTGAAACTGCAGTGACGTCATATTTTATTGAAAAGATTCTACTGAAGCCAAAAAGGGCCATCAATTTACATACCACGGTACCATAGTGCTCTCCGTTTAAGCTGCCATTCAAAACATGGCTGTTTCTAATATAAATCATTGAGTTATTCTATGAATGACAGGTGTATGTTAAACGCAAGATGCGACAGTTAAACACAATTTATTAAAATAGTAAATACAACTTCTTTTTATGTGTACAATTTGCTGGAAATAATAAGAACAGTGGTACCATAGGGGACCATCCTAATTCCTATGGATCTGCTGTTATTATTTCTGAATTACATTAACATTACAAGTAGTGACATTTTAGCAGAATTAAAGAAACCTTGTTGATTCTCCCTACTGTTGTTCAATTCTTTCTTTCTTTTAGATTGTTGAGCTGGATCGTCCTTTTTAAAATCCATGTCGACAGGATTTTCTGTGATGGATCCTGGCAGTGAAGGCATTTTTTCGTCACTTGGCAACAGGTCTTGTGCTGAAGGCACACTTTCTGTGTGCCTCCTCTTACGAACTCTTTGCTCTATCTTTAAAACTTACAATTGTTTTAGTTTTTTGTTTCAAACTTTGAGATTGAGATCTATTTTCTTGATTTTTTTTTCTCATTGATTCATCAAGAATCAAGGTTGACAGTGTCAATATGAACCAATCAAAACTCTCGTTACAAAATATACACCAATCAATATCGATTTTACATTTAGCCTCATTTCCATTTCAACATGGATGCCAGTGCAGGTGCGGTGAATTATTATCTTGTTATTTTTATGTTACTGTAATCCCCTGTTTCGTAATAGCTCCAAATTATCACTGTATATTGTTAAATAATATGTTAACTCATTGTTTAACACAGTATGATCAAAGCAATCAAGATAGAAACACTAGTCACACCCTTAAATGATTTCGTCATATATTTTCGCGATCATGTGTAAACAGAAAGTACGTTAAAAAAGAAAGAGTACTAAAACTCCCAAGGTTTTCAATATAGTAAGGAGTACCTATCATATTGACGATAGCTGCAGAATATTATAAACCGTTTTTTGTTGTAAATATGTACCTTACAATGTCGAACAGACGTTTTAGTGAATTGAATCCGGGTCAGCTCGGCCCTAAAACATACTCGGCCCCCGAGTCAGCTCGGCCCTATTCAAACTCGGCACTGGTCAACTCGGCCCACTTTTTAAAAATGGGTAAAGGTTATCAAAGGACTCCTATTGTCACGGGCTATTATTATCAATCAATGTGTATGTTAAAGATACCGATTAATTAGGTGATAATTATGATTGACTCATTCATTTGATTAGAAGCTTATGCTATTAAGTAAACACGTTTTTGTTTCATATTTTTTTGAAAATTACTTTACAAACGAAATGCATCTAAGGAAACATACTTTTATTATATCTTTATTCACAGGCACAAGTATCGGACCTGGGAATAAAAAATATGAAGTATTTTTATCAATCTGTTCATATTTTTTCTTCCCAGGTTCGATAATTATGCCTGTGTCTATATTAATTTTATCGAATCTGCAAGACAAATAAATAACTTTTTTTTCTAAATATACTTTATTTCTTATTATTCATTTACCTTAACAACATGCAAAGCAAAGTAATACGTTTAGGCCTATATATTTTTGTAAAGTGGGCCGAGTTGACCCGTGGCGAGTTGACCCGTGCCGAGTTGGTATAGGGCCAAGTTGACTCTTTTCCAGTGAATTACAGCTTGTAAATATGATGCTTTTATATATTTACCTTGCGTGCATGATTAAATCAAACTGCTCAGAAAGCACTGACATCGTTGACCAACTAATAAGCTTAGTAACTAATTTCGATGTTTGAGGTCTGTCCACAGGGGAACAAGGACACTTCACACACCCCCCCCCCCCCCCCCCCCCCCGGACAGACTTCACGATAAACAACGCACATGACCATCATATTTTCACATGGTATGACAACTTTTAAGCTAAAACTGGTCTGACTGACAGGTTTTTCAGGGGAAAGGGAGACTAATACTGACAAATTTTCCTCGGTTGTTGCTAGCGAGTTTACTTTTCCTTAAACATTGTGTTATGTTAAAATTATTTTCATTGGCTTATATCTTGAAATAAACCAATGGCTGATAACCATACAATAGATGTTTACAGCACAGTCAACGTGGCTTGCTTGAAGTATAACGAAGGCGCACTACAGTGGTAAAAAGAAAATAAACGCTATCAGAAAGAAGCAAAAAGGAAAAAACAAGTGTAAAATACTAAAAACCAGGCCAGATAGAAAATTAAACTACAAATGAAAGAAATATGAGAATGGCTTATTTTATGACAATGTATAAAACGAGATGCACTGTTCCTCCTGGGCAGTGGCAGTAAAAGTGTTGAAAAGCACGAAATATTTAGAAATAATACTATTACTGGATGTTCATATTTTTGCATAACAACTGTCAAAGGTCATGAAATATCTAGTATTCACAAAAAAGGATACAAATCTGTGCAAGACAGGGTTCAAGGGTTTGTCAGACCGAATGTTTTACACTTTTTTCAAACTTTCAGGAAGTCTGCCCCTACAATGATTGAAATCATGAATTTAATATTTGTTTTACCCAACCTATGATAAAAAACTACACAAACACTAAATTGAAGTGGCTCATGAGCAAATGTAAAGAAGACCAATTTACTTTATATGAATGCAAGTTTCAACTGCAGCCAAATCATGTTAAGTGGTTAAGGTTGGTTACTTCAAACCACTTGCCCCTCACTGTTGTGAGTTTGAATCCTGCCAGAGACTAGATTCTTTTATTTGATGAAGCTATCTTACTAGCATGCAGAATATTTGTGGTTCTACTCAGGTGCCTGTTTGTGCCTGAAATAATGCAGATCCAAGGGGCACCTGAGGTCTTCTACAGTTAAATTCATTAGTCACCATATGACCTTTACATAATTTTGGTGCGACTTAATACCCAACTAAAAAACCCACAAAACTATCCCATTCTAGAATTTTATGTAAAATTATCTTCTGTCTGATTCTTATTCAGTTCCATATAGTTCAAAATAATTTTAAATGGTCTAAAATTAACTTTGATTAATGTGTAGTTTTTGTTTCCCTCTACTGCAGACATTGAACTTGAATCTGAAAACTCCCACTCATCTAGTCCAAGACCAGCAAGAAAGAATATCACACTCAAGTTAAAGACAGAGAAATCGGCGTCATCATCAGGCCGAGGTCGACCAAGAAAGTCATCAAAAGCAGTGAAGAAAGAAGATAGTGATCATCAGTCAGCTGCAGGTACTCTGGAAAAAAAGTGATTAAACAAAAATGTTTATTCATTAGCACAACTATTTAAGTTAGTACTCATCCATACTGTCATTCTTTGGTTAAGTTTTTGCTTGCAAGTTGGTATCACCAAAACTACTGAAGTGGATGGGTTAAAAGTTCACACACTTATTAAAGAGCATAATAGGAGGTCACTGTCAAAGGTCAATCAGAATTATGGCCCTTTTGAACTTAGAAAATTTTACATTATCCAGGCTCTTATTTGACTATCAAGTACTGAGAATAGTGAAGCACGATGTCCTACCGACAGCTCTTGTTTTAGCAATTAAAGTTCAATGTTTCTTCTTTTTTGCATTTTTAGCTCACCTGAGCATGCTCAGGGTGAGCTTTTAGGATCGATGATTGTCCGTCGGCCGTCATCCGTTCACATTTAGTTGTTAACACTCCAGCGGTCGCATTTTTGCCTCAATCATCATCAAACTTGGTCAGGATGCTTATCTAGTTGATAGCTCGGATGAGTTCTCGGATGAAAAACTAGGTCACAAGAGCTAAAAATAGAAAAACCTTGTTAACACTCTAGAGGTCACATTTTTGCCTCAATCATCATCAAACTTGGTCAGGATGCTTGTCTAGATGATAGCTTGGATGAGTTCGAACATGGGTCATCTCGGATGAAAAATAGGTCACCAGAGCTAAAAATAGAAAAACCTTGTTAACACTAGCAGTCACATTTTTGCCTTAATCATCATCAAACTTAGTCAGGATGCTTGTCTAGGTGATAGCTCGGATGAGTTCGAACATGGGTCATCTCGGATGAAAAACTAGGTCACAGGAGCTAAAAATAGAAAAACTTTGTTAACACTCTAGCGGTCACATTTTTGCCTCAATCATCATCAAACTTGGCCAGGATGCTTGTCTAGGTAATAGCTTGGATGAGATCGAACATGGGTCATCCTGGATGAAAAACTAGGTCACCGGAGCTAAAAATAGAAAAACCTTATTAACACTCTAGTGGTCACATTTTTGCCTCAAACATCATCAAACTTGGTCAGGATGCTTGTCTAGGTGATAGCTCGGATGAGTTCAAACATGGGTCATCTCGGATGAAAAACTAGGTCACCAGAGCTAAAAAAAGAAAAACCTTGTTAACCCTCTAGCGGTCACATTTTTTCCTTAAATCATCATCAAACTTGGTCAGGATGCTTGTCTAGGTGATAGCTTGGACGAGTTCGAACATGGGTCATCCTGGATGAAAAACTAGGTCACCAAAGCTAAAAATAGAAAAACCTTGTCAACACTCAAGCGGTCACATTTTTACCCCAAGTATCATCAAACTTTGTCAGGATGCTTGTCTAGATGATAGCTCGGATGTTTTCGAACATGGGTCATCTCGGATGAAAACTAGGTCACCGAAGCTCAAAATAGAAAAACCTTGTTAACACTCTAGCGGTCACAATTTTGACTCAATTGTCATCAAACTTGGTCAGAAAACTTGTCTAGGTAATTGCTGAGATGAGTTCGAACATGGGTCATCTCGGATGAAAAACTAGGTCATAGGAGCTAAAAATAGAAAAATCTTGTTAACACTCTAGTGGCTACTGTTTTGATCCAATTATCCTGTAAATTGGTCTGAAAGTTTGTTTTGATGATTTTTAAGTCAAGTTTGAATATGGGTCATCTCGGATGAAAAACTAGGTCACACCGCCCAAATATGGAAAAACCTTGTTAACACTCTAGCGGTCACATTTTTGACTCAATTATCATCAAACTTGGTCAGGATGCTTGTCTAGGTAATTGCTCGGATGAGTTCGAAATCGCATGTGAAACTAGGTCACCGGAGCTAAAAATAGAAAAACCTTGTCAACACTCTAGTTGCTACTGTTTTGAGCCAAGTATCCTGGAAATTGGTCTGAAAGTTTGTTTTGATGATTTCTAGGTCAAGTTTGAATATGGGTCACCTGGGTAAAAAACTAGGTCACACTGCTCAAATATGGATAATCCTTGTTAACACTGTAAGTGGTCACATTTTTGACTCACCTGTCATGAAACTTGGTCAGAATGCTTGTCTAGGTAATTGTTCGGATGAGTTTGATGGGTCAGGTGAGCGATCTAGGGCCATCATGGCCTCTTGTTTTTCTTTTGTTATTATTCGGTAACATATGGTCTTTAATTTACCTAATGCTAAGCCTGTAAGTTTAAATGACATAAGACTGAAACTTAGAAAAAGAAAATAATGACAATCAATTTTTAGAATTTTTGGTAAAATGTCAAATTTGTATTATACTTTTATAGTTTACAAAACATGTATAAAATAGAGTTCTCTGTGTCTCTAGTATGACCGATTTCATGTTTGAATTTTTTCAGAGGATGAGGTGTTAGATACACCAATATTTAAGACCATGGAACCCGGTGAACCTCTTCACCACAATAAGAAGTTAAGATGGGACCACAAGGTAATGCAGAAACTCAGATTAATATAAGAAAATATCAACACTATTTATATTTATTTGGCATTAATCCTATTAAATCACAGAATTTTACACAGAATATTGAATTGAACACTGAAGCTTAAATGATGATAGTGTACACAGAAAATGTTCATCATTTACATGTGTCTTTTTTTTATGCCCCAACTACTTAGGGTGTTATACTTTGCCCTTGTGTGTTGGTCCATTACACTGTCCATAGTGTGGGACACACTCCATTTTGAATTTTTATAATTTCTAGACTTATAATTGATTAGTCAAGCTTATCGATTTTTTTAAAATGTGTATCGATTATTGATAAAAATATTGACAACACATCAATATTGTTACTATTGATGACAGCTCTATATGCATATCATTTCACCTGAAGAAAGATTGAAACTTACAGAGAGTCAAATGTAGAATGAGTAGGCCAATGAATACAAAAGTAAAAAATAATAAAACAATAATGAAAGCTATTTTTTAAAATGGCTTCACCAAGTGAAAGCTATTTATGGTTTATGAGTTACGACAACAGTATACTCAGCGATTTTTTTCTCTGAATTGTGAATGGGTCTGGTACCATAAAAAAATTGTGAAAGAAAAGCAACGTTTCTTAAGAAATTGTGAACTTTTACTTAAGATTGTGAATATCTTTTTAAGCAGTAAGAAGATATAATTTCTTTAATGTAGTATTTACTGTTACGAGACATTTTAAATGATATTTACAGAAATTACCAGACGCTTGTTTCGGTATTGTTTGTCCCTAGAAGTTTCGTTTTTAAACAGTACGAAAATTTAAAGGGTGATTGCACCGGAAAGCATGGTCGGCTAAACGCATTTTAAGATAAACAAAGCACAACAGGCAATATTTTAGCATCATTATGCGAAGAGAGGAAATAATACGTTATGAAAGGCTTAATTAATGGGAATTGTGAAATTTCACCAGAATTGTGAACGGGTCCATCGGACCCAGTTTGAAAATTGTGAAGGTCCGTTTGTGATTGTGAATGGGTCCGTTATTTGGTACCACTTATATAGGGAAAAAAATCCCTGATACATGACATGTGTTAAAGAAATATGCAATGAGTAGATCATTCTATAACATTAAAATCAAGTAATGTCATGTGATTAAAATCACACACAATAAATCTGTAATGCTTGCTTATATTAATAGGTGAACTTGCTTGGAGAGAAGGTGGTTGACCCTCTGATCCATTGCTGTGAAATCTGCTCTCTACCAATCCTTATCTATGGTAGAATGGTGAGTCTGTGCATTATTTTCCTATTGAAAACATGTATCTTAAATATTAGACATTTGTACTAGATATGTTTATAAATTTATTCTAAAATATTCTGATTATTGATTTGGGGGAAAATTCTTGTTATCAGGTGGCTTCATTGGCAAATGTTTCCATCAAATACTTTAACTATGTTACAACAATGAACCCTTAGAGTTATTAATAGGCATATTGTTTCCAAGATATGCTTGAATTTTTATGCCCCCACAATGTGGGAGCATATAGCGTTGCACTTGTCCGTCCGTCCGCACTCACAGGAGAGTAATTATGTGGCTAGAGGGACAATAGGTAACTGTTCTTTCTCTTTGATGTCATTCATTCCGTAATGCTTTTATGTGGCTATTTTCTTTTGTGTGGCTAAAAAGAACAAGAGAGAACAATAGAGTAGCCACATAATTACTGTCCTGTGAGAACTTCCGTCAGTCCGTCCGTCCCGAAATCTTGTGAACGCAACTCTTAAACCGGATAACAGATTTTGCTTAAACTTACAGGGATGAACAACCATAATGTGTAGATGGTAGTAAAGGAAGGAATTTTCGCTGCGACCAAATTTAACAGAATTATGGCCTTTTGTTGATTTTTTCACTAGATACTATGTAGAAATTTTGTGAACGCAACTCCTCTTAAACCGGATAGCAGATTTTGCTTAAAACGGCTTCCACGGCCCCTTGTTTACATGTTGTGCGAAATAATTATGCGCTTCTGTGTTAATTACATACATTTTACTATTGGAGGCTTCTCTTTCTAATGAAATTTCCATTTATTTATGACAGTACATAAATATTGTTTGAATACTTACTTTAAAATTCCACTGCCTATTGGAAAGCATGTTATACATGATAGTACTGAACAGTATGCATACTGTATACATTGTAAATTTATGTTTACCATTACAGATACAGTGTAAGCATGTGTTCTGTTTTACATGTGCCAAGAAGACAGAGAAAACCTGTACAAGGTAATTGTTGTTCTCAAATGTTGATATTTTTCACTCATTTGCTGCCATTTCTTTCAAGAGGACTTAGTAGCACTGTATCATTTTGTTAAAGGAACTCAACTGAGGTATTTTCACATGAAGGAATTTGAAATATATTTTTCAAGAATTCTGTGTCATTTGCTGAAGGTCTGGACTAATACAATGTAACTTGTGTGAAAAATTTCATTATTTGCTCTCGCACTTTTTAGCTCGACTATACGAAGTATATGGAGAGCTGTCCTACTCGCCCGGGCGTCCGCGTCCAGATTTTAGATTAAAGTTTTGGTGCAGTAAAATATTTTTCACTGTAACTTTGTCATTTCTTAACGTATCAACTTCAAACTTCAAATATATGTTCCTTATCATCAACCACATCTTATGTGATAAGGTTCATAACTCTAGCACCAATATTTTCAGATTTATCTCCCTTTGAACTTAGAATTTTCCTTAAAAAATACAATTTTTTACTGTTACTTCTTTATTTCTTAAGGGATCAACCTCATACTTCAAATATATGTACCTTATCATCATCCCCATCTTATGTGACAAGGTTCATAACTCTAGCACCAATATTTTCAGATTTATCTCCCCTTGAACTTAAAATTTTCCTCAAAAAATACTATTTCTTACTGTTACTTCTTTATTTCTTAAGGGATCAACCTCATACTTCAAATATATGTACCTTATCTTCATCCCCATCTTATGTGTCAAGGTTCATAACTCTAGCACCAAAATCTTCAGATTTATCTCCCCTTGAACTTAGAATTTTCCATCAAAAGTATTATTTTTTACTGTTACTTCTTTATTTCTTAAGGGATCAACTTCATACTTCAAATATATGTACATTATCATCATCCACATTTTATGTGAAAAGGTTCATAACTCTAGCACCAATATTGCAAGAATTATCTCCCCATAAACTTAGATTTTTTTTACTAGAAAATGTTATTTTTTACTATAACTTTTTTATTTTTTAAAGGTATCTACCTCAAACTTCAAATACTTATTCCTTATCATCAATTACATTTTATGTGACAATGTTCATAACTCTTGAAGCAATATTTACAGATTGATCTCTCTTTGAACTTAGGATTTTCTTTAAGAAATATAATAACTTCTTTACTTTTTAAGGTACAATGTATCTATTCAAACTTCAAATATATATTTCTTATCATTACACAAATGTTGTGTGACAAGGTCCATAACTCTAACATGACTATTTCTAGAATTATTCCCCTTGATCTTGGAATTTATGTTAACAAATGTTATTTTTTTACTATAGCTTCATACATAATTATACATAATTGATTTTTCTTTCATAGTTTTGTCCTCCTTACTGCGTCCAGTATTTTATTAGTCGAGCTTCGCTGTCTCCTGTGACAGCTCTTGTTAAAGAATAATTTCTATTGTGTAAAATAAGCTGAATTTGATACCAAGTATACACTTTCATTATTTTTTCATACTTTTTCATTTCAAGTGACAATTTGAAATGATATATTCATAAAATCTAATGAACTTACACCTCATTTAAGCTCCTCTAAGATGTTTTGTTAAATGTTTTGAAGTTCTATGAATGCTAGGGGTTATATTAACATCATATGTTAGTATGAATGTAGGCCCCTTTTTATACGCCCGTTTGAAAAACGGGACGTATTATGGGAACGCCCCTGGCGGGCGGTCGGGCGGGCGGGCGGGCGGCGTCCAATTTTGTCCGGAGCATATCTCCTACATGTATGGAGGGATTTTAATGAAACTTCATATAAATGTTCACCACTATGAGGAGCAGTGTCGCACACATGAACCAGGTCTCTAGGTCAAAGGTCAAGGTCACACTTAGAGCTCATTGAAAAATGCTTGTCCGGAGCAAAACTTCCACATGTATAGAGGGATTTCAATATTACTTGGCACAAATGTTCACCATTGTGAGGCGGAGTGTCGCGTGCAAGATTCAGGTCCTTGCGGCCAAGGTCAAGGTCACACATAGAGGTCAAAGTTCAGATAAAAATATGAAGATGTGTATATGGACCATTTAATCATCATTAATTGAGGGATTGTAACACAAATGGTCATTATCAAGACTATGGCTGTGATACATATAATTTAGGTCAATATATACAAGGTCAAGGTCACTAAAGATGATGAAATATCCAGATTTTGTAAATAGAATTTAATCAAAGGGAGACAACAAAGTTATTACTTTGTTCATAAATGACTTACACAATTACTCCCCTTGATCTAAAAATAGAATTTAATCAAAGGGCATGAAATAATCCTCTTTCTTGGACTTGAGTATGTTGTAAAGAATGTAACATTTATTTACACATGTTTCATTCATTGGTCAAGATTCTTAACTGTGATAACTATGGTGTTCTGTAGACTTGGTATTTGTTCATAAAGATCATACAGTAATTACCTTATCAAATGTAAATACTTTCTCATAGAAATTTAATTATATTTTAATTTTCAAGTAAATATCAGTTCAGCTCATTCAAAGATTAAGAATTGTAATGAAATGTATTTCCCTAGAATAAAATCTTAAATCAGAATTTTTTAGTTATTAAATTACATGTACTTTTTATACGCCCGTTTAAAAAAAGATAAAAATATGAAGATGTGTATAGGGACGATTTAATCATCATTTATTGAGGGATTGTAACACAAATGGTCATTATAATGACTACGGCTGTGACACATGTACTTTAGGTCAATATATGCAAGATCAAGGTCACTAAAGATGGTGAAATATCCAGATTTTGTCTGGAGCATATCTCATACATGTATGGAAGAATTTTTATAATACTTTATGGAAATGTTCACCACCATGATATGTATTGCTCCATGCATGATCCAGGTCTCCAGGTCAAAGGTCAAGGTCACACTTAGAGCTCATTGAAAAACGCTTGTCCGGAGCAAAACTTCTACATTCATAGGGGGTTTTCAATATAACTTGGCACAAATGTTCACCATTGTGAGGCTGAGTGTCGCATGCAAATTCAGATCCCTGCGACCAAAGTCAAGGTTACACTTAGAGGTCAAAGTTCAGATAAAAATTTGAAGATGGTTATAGGGACCATTGAGTCATCATTTATTGATGGATTGTAGCACAAATGGTAACTATCATGACTACAGGTGTTACACATTTAATTTAGGTTAAAATTTGCAAGGTCAAGGTCACTGGAGATGATTAAATATCCAGATGTTGTCCGGAGCATATTTTCTACATGCATGGAGGAATTTTAATGTTACTTTTATAGAATTGTTCACCACCATGAGACGTAGTGCCCTGCACATAAACCAAGTCTCTAGGTCAAAGGTGAAGGTCACAGTTAGAGCTCATAGAAAAACACTTGTCTAGAGCAAAACTTCTACATGCATAGAGGGATTTCAATATAATTTGGCACAAATGTTCATCATTGTGAGGCTGAGTGCCGTGCATAAAATTCAGGTCCCTGCAACCAAGGTCAAGGTCACACATTCTGTGCATATCTTCCCTATTGATTTGTTTTAAGGTTCATTTAACAACACAGTGCCAAGAATAAAAACTTGCTTGCTAGATAACACTTATCCATAATGCCCCCATCTCCATCTAAAGCTTTTTCGTAAACGGGCGTATTTTGTGACTATGGCACCCTTGTTACTCATTTGAACCGTAACAAAATAAAATTGAAATAAAATGAAAATCAATTGAAAATAAATTAAATTCATTGCATTTTACAAATTCACTTGTGTGGAGAGAGACAAACAATACATGCTGAATAGATTTTTTTCTTTGATGTTTCAAATTTAAGGCAGGGCATGTACCATACATTCAACACTTAAAAATGTTAACCAATCAGTCTTGAAGTTAAATATTTTCTGTCAGTCCCCACTTCTTAATAACAGTGTAGTTGATTACTCAATGTCTCAATTAACTTAAAGAAAAATTATGGTTAAAGTGACATTATGCCCATCAAAATAGTAGGCATAAAGTTCAAAGTCAAAATAACTTACGATTTTGTCATAATTGTTTTCAGTTTTACAGATGTGTAGTCAGTAGTACATAATTAATAACCATGTGACTCAGAGAAAAATCCCTATATCATTCCTAATGTATCATTAACGATCATTTTATCAAATGAGTGAGGCAGTCTTTTTATGTTCAAGGCAGTCGTTATATTTTATCCTAAAGCTTTTCATTATCAATTATTGGTCAATAGACATTGTCTTTTAATCTTTGTTAAATATATAGCCAGTTCTGCTCAATTTGACAGCCAAAAAGAAAATGTGCATAATGACTCTTTGAAATACTTCTGAAAATCATGTAATGAAATATGCTGATACAATTAGCATATAATTATTATTAGATGCTACAGCAGTAGTCTGGTAAAGTTTTACTTGTAAGTAAAACATATATATGATTTTTATGTCGATTTATGTTTGATTTGCTTTTATCTCTTTGTAACTGTTGAAATTTAACATCCCTTGTAAATTTGTAACCAAAAATTGATAAGGGCTTTGCATTCTACCTGCACATTGTGTTTTACTTGGTAATATTTCTGCATAGTATTAATAAAGATAACAATTTATTGCAGGTGTGGGGATCCTGTACAAAGGATAGAGCAGTCTGCACTTGGTACAGTATTTCTTTGTACATATGGAGGCTCGAAACATGGTTCTAATGGCTGTAGAAGAACGTATCTGTCACAGCGTGATCTCAATGCACATATTGGTCATAGACATTTGAAACACGAGATCAAAGATGCCAACTTATCTCTTGCTGCCCAGAAAGCTGGTGCAGTACTAACAGCACCAAAGGTGTCAGTTAACCCATCGCCCTCGCAGCCTGCTCAGCAGCAGGCATTCTTAGAGCAGTTTACGTCAGCAATACGTCAGGTAGCTGCTGCAACAGCTGTTGCTGGACGAGCGACACAGGAAGGCTTATACTTACAAGGGCAGGTTGGAGGTGTTCAGCACAGTTTGCCTATTTCTACATCACACCAACCACAATTAGCTTCTGGACTTCCTTCCCAGCAAATGTATTCACATGCTGGGTCAATAATGCAGAGTTTACCATCTTCACAACCAATGCTGTCTCAAGCGACCATTTCATCGACAGCTGATAATTATACGTCAGCTATACCAGTAGTCGGCTCCAGAATTAAGACACTTATAAGTGTACCTATACAAGATGATGACTATACTAAAAAACAACAGACTTATCAGACTCATCCGGTAGCTGGAGCAACAATGCCAAACATGAACTACCCACCACCATCATTGGGGCAGTACCCTGTGGGAAGCATTGCTCCAAATATACACCAGCCACCCCCTGGTGTACCACCTCCTATGTTTTCAAGTCAAACAATCCCTAGTTCATCATTTACAAGCCGCCACCCGGGCCTGTTTTCCACAGATGATTCAATCAGGGCCACCAAGAGGCCCACCTACAATGGGTGCATTACCTGGCGCACCTCGTTTCTTTGACAATCAAGGTCCACCACGAGGCCCTTGGGAGAGGTGCACCTCCAAGAGGACCTGGAGGTCCCACCTCATCCTTCAAGAGGGCCTCCTAGGGCAGATTATAATTACTATTAAACTGGTATATTTAAATGTAAATAGCAAAGTTAAAAGTTTAGAAATTAATTTGTGAAAGACACTCTTAACAGAATTATGTGAGCATTGTATATTTTTTTTGCACAAAATTGAATTTTTCATTGTATAAGAAAATTCCTTCATTGACTTTGAATTATCAGAATTTTTTGTTTTGATTTTATTCATTGTTTCTCTTTATTTTACGAAATAAATTTATCAGGAATGTACAAAAACTAATTGATATTTTTTTGTAAAAAAGGTTTTTCAATGTATGTTTGTCTTGGATCATGGATTAATTATTTCTGAATCACGTTGTATCTTTTTGTTGTTTAAATCACTTCAGTAAATTATACCAAAAAATGTTAATGTTATGTAAGTCATCAATAAGCATTCAATTATTGTTCTTGTGTTCACAAAATAAAGAAACAAAGATTTTTATTCCTTTTTATTTAGTTTTAATAACACACTGATGTTTGTGTCCCATCAAAAATTCTGTCACTGATGAAGGGATTTATAATTACGTTAAAATGTGCGAGGAATAATAAACCTCTTGCAGAGCAATAGAATTTCCCTACCTCAAAGGTCAAGGTCACACTTGTAGATCAAGTCATGATATGAAGTTTAAGAAATGAATACTGATGTCTTGTCTAATCAACATGTCTGTCATGATGGATGGATTAAAGAATTGTTATGCATAAATATGACAACATGTGGAGCACACGAGAATTGTGTCCCTACCTCAAAGGGCAAGGTTACACTTGTATTCCAAAGCAGGGCTTCCGTAAATGGAAGTCTGGGAGTCATTTACTCCTTAAATTTGGCTTGTGACTTCCAAAATGTCATTCTTATTCTTCTTTTCTATATAGTGTGACTTCCAAATTTAGAGATTTTGTTGTCTCTAACTTCCAAATTTTGGAACGTAGTGGAAGCCCTGTTCCAAAGTCATATGAAATTTTTTCATTCAAGAGAATTGATGGTTCTGTCCAGTCAACAATTCTGCCATTCCTGGATGGATTTTAAAATAATTTGGCATAGATGTGTAAGACATGATAATAATATGTCCCGAATATTGGTCAAGTATCAGTTCAAAGGTCAAGGTTAAATGTGAGTCATACTTAAGATTGTGAGTAGGTTGTCTTCTTTTGTGCATAGCTTTTGTCATTCATTGGTGGACTTTGAAATAATTATGCATAGATATGCTGCTTATTAAGATGATATGTAATGAACGGAATTTAGCTCAGAAGTCATGATATGACAGTGCATTGATAGTCATGTCCATCCATTTTTGTCGTCATTTAGTGACAGATTTTGTTTATAACTTTGTTTAAAGAGATAAGGTTCGTTAAAAACTATTTGTGATGAGATTGTAGCTTAAAGATTAAGGTCATACTAAGTCTTTTTTCATAAAAATACATCAATGGTTAAATCCAGTCAACAATTCTGTCATCCTGAATGGATTTTGAAATAACTATGCATACTTCTGTGGCACATAAGGAAAACTTGTTGCATTCAAAGGCTAGGTCGACAGTTTATAAAATGATGGTTGTACAAAGTGAAAGTCAAAATACTTCATTGGTGGTTGTGTCATATTTTTGTCATTCATTCATGAATGCGATTAGAAATAATTGGGCTTACTGAAAATTAGAAAATACTTGTTTATGTTTCTATATTATTGAAATACTGTTTTTAAAGTAACAAAGCCTTTGATGCAAGTCAAGGTCATGGTTCCCCTACTGGGTCCAGCTTGTGGGGCATTTGTTTCCAACGACAGTTCTTGTTTGTTAGTTTATACACATTCAATGAGAGAAAGCAAAGTTATTTGGGCACATGGTCATTATATTCGACACCACATTTAGGTTGGAGGAGAGTTGATATATAATAAATTTGTACTTGTGTAATGAATACATACAGAAAAAGCCCTGCAAGATTCAAATGTATTCCCATTTCTTTTGTGCGTGCAATAACTATAACGGGTATTTTTATTGAAAACCTCGGATAGCAAGCCACAATAATAACATTCCATTATTTATTTGAGAGCATGAAATTAGATAGGGTATCTATACAAAACTGGCAAAGTACTTATATGAAGATAATGGCATTGGCTTAAAGGTTCAAGACAACCTCGATGATTCCTTTTTTCTGCTATTCAGTATTGTTAACCTAGTCCTGTAAATATGATGTTATTTTGAGAAAAATGGACCTTTCAGTGTTTTACAATTTTATGCAAATTGGCTGCACTTAAGTAGTACAATCACTGGTTTACACAAAAAATACAGTGTTGAGTTTGTGAGCAAGTGATCCAGCAAAGAACAGAAAAGGTAAGGCTAAAATTTTCCACTGCAAAATACAGGAAAGATCCCATAAAAAATTTTTAGGCAAAGAAGAGTATAATTTTTTATAAATAATTGTATGCCAAAAAAACATTTGTATTGAGTTAATTTATGTATCATACCGAGTTAAAGTGTCAAAACTTTGCATCCCCAATTTAACGGTCAATTAAGCAATAGTGACTATTGCAATTACTTACTATAAAAAGGAAAAGGGTGCACAAGAAAAAAAAAACAACACTTAATATATTGATCATTTACAAATATTTTATTTAGGAAACATACTGTAAAAATATTGAAATCTAATGATATGTAAAATATAATATACTAAAAGGCTTTTAATGCATAGATATAACAAAATGACACTATAACAATTGCTTATTTTTCAAATAAACTGAAAAAATATATGTTTGTAAATAAAATAAGTTTTTGTAGGCATTTTACAAATTTATGTAAGTTACACTGTTACTTGAGAGAGTAAACCTGCTTAACCTTCAGTATTTAAACAATGTGTACATGTATAAAATTATGCAGATTGTGTTTCAATTAAGAATAAAGCAGTATAAATTTCGAAAATGTATAAAGACAATCTTTAATTCGAAAAGCATTAACCTTACATCATAAAAATACCTACATTGACATTATGATAGAGGGTAAATTTCTAACCTTAAGACATCTAAGGGAGACCACTTATTTGTAGTTACTTTTCTTTTTACATTCAGTTTTGTCCCTTGTCATGGAAGAATGTTTTCACCATTATGCCGATCTTTTTTTTGAAATGATTAACAACGCATATAACTTGACTATGTAATACACATACATTGTATATTCTAGTGTAATATTTTACCATGAGAAAAAATAAACAAGCAAGTTGCGTTACTAACTATATACATGTAAATTATGCACACAACACTGTCATCATGTAAACAGTCTATACCACTACTAAGAGATCATAACTATTCACAACTGGAATGTTGGTACACCTGAAAATATACAAAAATTCTACTTCAGTTTTCATGTTCTGATTTCATAAAGTATTGGACAGAGTTAGAGGTCTACAGTGACAAACATTTAAGTTAATGGAGCATTAGACTGTTGCCTAAAGCATTGAATGCATGTCTTATTATAGATACATGTGGGTCTGGTAAAATGACCTTTATTAGGGCAAAATTACGTTTTTAGAGTCCAAAAATTTCCAGCATTAAACTGCCTTAACACTTATAATGTTATATTGAAGAATGGCAATGCCATGTGTTTAGAATCGAGTCAGTTTAGAATTATTTCCTTATTTCTTAAAGGTCAATGCTTTTCAAAAAGTTAATAATCAATGAGTTCCAGCAGACAAATTAATAGCTTTGTATAATAGCTTTTATTAAAGATGTGGTTTATATCAAGTCCATTTTTAAGAAAGGAGACCTTAAATTCTTTAACAGCTACACTTTTCAAAACATAAGACCATCCTACTTTTACAGCCAACAACTTACAAGTTGTCTAATTAACTGAGTTCTACTGTATATCTGCATTTTATGCAGCCAGGCGTCGATGCAGCTGTTGATGAACAAAAAAGATTTACCTTGAATAATGAGTAATGATTCTAATGAATGAGATTCAATCAAGCAGCCTTTCAGCGGTGCTTCTTTTTCTCCCTTTTACCACCTTTTTTCATTGATGTTTGTGGAGATGTGGCACCAGACTTTGTCTCTTGAACAGGCTCATCAAGTGGCTCCTAAAATATGATAATAAATAATTATATAATCATTCAGGTCTAGGATTTTATCCATGTTTACATCATTACATGAACCGACTGTAAATTTGTAAATAATTTACCAATTTATTAAAAGATTATTCAGTTCATAAGTTTACAGGCATGATGGGGTATAAAATTTGCTTCAACAATTATTCAAAACACTGAATACATCATTACATGTGACTTGGATAAAAGCCGGACAGTCGGACCGGTCCGGAATAAAAACTGTCGGACCTAATGAAAATTTATTGGACATGTCCGTCGGACTGACATATTTCGGGAAGTCTGGTCACATCCTGGGTACCCCTGGGAACAGTATTAGGTCCTTTGCTTTTCCTCCTTTACGTCAAAGACCTAGCAAGGTACTTGACTTCTACCAGCCGCCTATTTGCTGACGACAGCCTGATTTACAGAAGAATCAACTGAGAAGCCTTAACGCACTAGCTCTCCAAGAAGACCTAGGTCGACTCCATAAATGGGAACGCAAGTGGATGATGTCCTTCAAACCCAGCAAATTTGAAGTAATACACATCACCAAGAAAAGGAACCCCATCATTCATGCCTACATGGTCCACCAATCATCAACTCTTCGTTCAGTAAAAAGCGGAAAGTACCTTGGTGTCAACACCGCAAATAATCTCTCATGGAATATACACACAGAATCTACCATCAAGAAAGCCAACAACTCCCTATCATTCCTTAGAAGAAATATCACAAGCTGCCCACAAAACATCAAGGCCAAGACCATTGTCAGACCCATCCTGGAGTACACAGGCACAGTCTGGGACCCACACACAGCCACCAACATCAACCAGCTGAAAGGTGAGCTGCCCGATTTGTAAAAGGTGACTACAAGACTACCAGCATCATCAATGCAAGGATGGCAGACCGAGGATGGCCAACACTACAGCATCACCGCTCCAATGCCAAGCTAGTGATGGTCTACAGAATCACGCACAACCTTATAGCCATCCCAGCTGCATAGTACTTCCAGTTCCACTGCCTGACACTTGGTGGCCATGGCTACGGCCCAATTAGAAGAACTGACACCATGAAGTTCTCCTTTGTACCCTCGGCCATCCACCTTTGGAACAAGCTTCCACAGCAGTCAGCCACCGGTCAGCCTCGAGGCTTTCAAGGGAGGTGGACTAAACATAGGGCCCTAATATGCCAGAGTTGATTTTATTTTTAACCTGTTCTTCTTTAAAACTTGCACTTATTCCCCGCAAAACACTTTGTACATACACCCTGTACGTTAATGCACCACAGCGGATTATGTACATACTGGGTGGGGCTTGTCACAAACTTTTACAAATTCTTAAAATTTACAATCATTTCAACAACAAATAATATTTACCTCCTCATTTTCACTTTGAGGTATGAATACCACAGCGAATATACACACTAACTGAAATATTGCACCCAGAAACAGGCCATAATAAAGGAAATTGTCCAAAAATGTTGGCTCGTCTATTGTTAGAGTAGACATGTTGAAAACTTGTTTGCTTGATTAAATCAGAATATATTCTGTTCATGGAAAGGCATATGACCACTAAATTCATTATTTAAAAAAAAAACAAGTATGCAGGTTGAATAACAGATCTATGTCAATATATAATGAAATAATATTGCATGTCATAAAACAGACACAAAATAAAAGATACAAGCTTTATGATTTAATGAATTTGATAAATAGTCACGTCAAACTTTTAGTTTTTAGGGCGACTCGGGTGTGCCTAAAATAGTAAAGAGATCGAAGTGTAAAGTAGCAAAAAGTCAATTAATTTCTTCTTTTGAAAGGAAATAATGAAATTTAAACCTTAATTTGTGCACTAAATTCCTGCCTAAATTTAACTCTCGTAAGAGGGGTTGGTAGTATCCAGAGATAGATAGATAATTTTCGCTTTGTGAAAAAAAAAATTAAGTGGATTCTTCCCAATTCTTTAGATTAAATTTCGTGTAACAACAAATTTCAGACCCATATCCTAAAATATACCCAATGAAAGCATCAAATAATTGACATACTATCCTAGGTTTAAGATCAAACTTTTAACAATTGTAAAACAAAACTTTAAGAGCTTTTAAAGCTTTCCCTGCCAAGTGTTCCTGGTTAAGCGAAAAATTGCCTGTATAATTAAAAACAGTACCTCAATAATTAAAATCATTCACAACTTCTAAAATTTGGCCATCATAGGTCCAGTTCTCATTTTGTAATAACCCCCTCGTTTTCGAAAAAAACATTATTTTTGTTTTGCTGGTATTTACTTTTAATCCCCATGAAGAGCATTATGAATGTAAAAGATCCAAATGGTTTTGCAGTTCCAATGGTGACTTGCCTAAGATGGCCATGTGGATATTGTCAGCAAATAACAGTTAAATCAAAATAACATCGTCGAATGACAGTCCTGATTCATGACCAGTTTATATAATATAATATAATATAACTCTTAATCGTCTACAAAGGGAGATAATAAAATCGATGAAATTACCTCCCCTTGACGTAATCCAATAGCATAATAAAAATAATCAGAATAATTCGGATACAATATTAGATTGATGAACAAAAAAAGTAACAATTATAATTATAAATTAAAATGTTATAATTTAAAAAAAAAATGACTGTTGCATTATTTTTTTTATTTTTTTTGCAAAATGGGCATGAAATATCGTCAATAATTTATAACTTTACTACAATTTCATTGACAATTACACAACAACACAGAACATATATACATCAAAATTATGCACAAAAAGCAATTATAAATAATGACATAAATATAACATATACATATGATATAACATTATACCAATCTCATTAAAATCATATCCTAACTGTCGCTTCACTACCCTACGCTTCGTAGCGAAGAGTAACGGAGCAAAAACGATGATCTGATTTTAATGAGATTGAATTAATTTGAAACGAAATACAATAAAGTATACGAAAAAAAGCTTATATAAACACATTTTTCATCTAGAAAGATCGATAATTTTTTAGAAGACCGTTACTGACCGGGCCAGTATAAATGTGATACTATCGTAAATTTCGATCAAAATAGACCGGGAGAGACCGGAGACCGGGGTATTTTATTGTTTTTGTTGTTGTTGCTGTTTGCATTTCCGCTTCCGCTTTCGTTTTGGTTTTTAGCATGTTGATGACTTGAATTAAAAATGAGCCATCGACCAAAAGTTGCTGATCCAACAGAATTACAATGGTTTGTACGGTTTATTGGTGTAAGCACAGGAACCCGAAATTCTATCTAAAACTTTATTTATTTTTTTTGGATAGAATTTCGGGTTACCGTGGTCGCACATGGAGGCCTCTTCAATACTGAAATTTATAAATAAGATCTATATATTCAAGTCAAGTCAAGTTAATTTTATTTATAAGTCGGATAGTCGATACATATAACAAAAAACATAAGCTCTGGTGAGCAAGATGACCTCTTTACTGGGCAGCTGCATCCTTTTTACCAGTTCTAAGCCAGCTTTGATTTTAACTTAAAATTATCTCTGTCTTGTTTAAAGATTTTTTCCATTTGATAGAGTTCTACAATACTTTTTAAACGTACCGTAATAAGCTGTATGATAGGCGGACCGAGGAAGAAAATACACAGATTTAGTGTTCTAGTGCCCAGCGGTTGATTGCCCACAATCACTGTAGCGATTGATCGCCATAAGAGAGACCCTTTTTAAACTTGCTTTTACCTCGTATCTATAAATTTGCACTTAACTTATTTGTTTTTAACAGCTATTCCCAGATAACACACCTGCTTATTGTAATCGATTATACACTATTTTGAAGCAGTATGAATGCCTTGTTTGACTTCATGTCCAGAATTGATTGTTAAGCAGTAAGTTACAAGTAGATGTAGATCTAGATATATAGGCTACTTTGATAAATTCAGAACATCAAATCTACTGGTTGGGGACCACCAAAACCGGACAACAACCAAACCCAGGCCGCCCAAAAATGCTTAATTTAGTTTTTTAACTTTTTTTTCTTTGTTCAGTGGTTTTTGATCTATCAGTACTTTTTGTGCCCCCACATTAGTGGCGGGCCTTTAGATTTACCCTTGTCCGTCCGTCTGTCCGAGCAAACATTTTGGGTTTAAGGGCTATATAACAGTAAAGAGAACAAAAGAGAACAATAGGTTCATTCCGTGATCAAAGGTTTTAGGGGCTAGTAGCCCTTAAGAAAACACAGAAAATAACAAAGAAAATAGCCCCTAAAGCCAAAATGTCGGAACTTCCGTCCTTCTGTCCGTCCATTCTCTTTTGTGTCGCACGTAACTCAAAAAGTATTTGACCTAGTCATGAAACTTTACAGGAATGTTGATCAGAATGTGTAGTTGTGCACCTGGGTATTTTCGTCTGGATATTTTTAGTATTTTTAGAGTTATTGCCCTTGACTTAGTAAAAATTTCCAATTTTCAACTTGTGTTGCACATAACTAAAAAAGTATTTGACCTAGAGTCATGAAACCTTCCAAGAATGTTGCTCAGCATGTGTAGTTGTGCACATGTGTATTTTCATATGGATATTCTTAGTATTTTTTAGAGTTATTGCCCTTGACTTAAGAAAATTTGCAATTTTCAACTTGTGTCACATGTAACTCAAAAGATATTTGACCTAGAGTCATGAAACCTTACAGGATTGTTGATCAGCATGTGTAGTTGTGCACCTGGGTATTTTTGTGTGGATATATTTAGTATTTGTAGAGTTATTGCCCTTGACTTAGTATAAAACAATATTGAACTTGTGTTGCACATAACTCAAAAAGTATTTGACCTGTAGGCCTGAAAGTTTACAAGAATGTTGGTCTGCATGTGTACTTATACACCTTGGGGTTTTCTTGTGGATTTATTCAGTATTTGTAGTATTTGCCCTTTACTTAATAAAAGATTTTTAGTTTTCAACTTGGGCACATGTAGCCAAAAAAAAAAAATTGACCTAGAGACATAAGATTGACAAATTGGTGGAGTGTGGGGGCACCCGTGTCCTATGGACACATTTCTATTTTTTTTTTAAATCTGTACACATGATCTAAGGAGACCATACAAGATCATGTCCATACCTTCAAGGTCAAGGTCATTCTTTCAGCTCAAAGGTCAAAAGGTATTTGTCCTCTTTCTTATACTTCGAAATAGTATGAAGTCACCCTGATTTATTCTAAAAACTATGCCAGCATACATACAATGTAGATATGCATTATATTATATGTGATATACAATTTTTTTTATATTTCAGGCCTGTTGTTGATAGTGACAAAGAGGAGGCAGTGTTATATGTTTTAGAAAAGTGAGTGTTTAATATTTTTAGACACTTTTTTTGTGTCACCTTGAAAAAGGCGACATATACGGGTTACTTTTGTCGGCGGCGGCGGCGTCCCCTTAAGCTTGTCCGGATCATAAGTCAGTCATTATAAAGTCGGATTGACTTCAAACTTGGTATGCATGCACAAGAGCCGGTATTCTGCACTTCTTAATTTTTGAGTTATTGCCCTTTGTTAATTTTCATACTTTATTCATTTCTCCTAATGTATAAAAGCTACGGACTTGAAACTTCATAATTAGGAAGAAGTGCAGTGCACAAGAACCGGCACTCTACATTTCTTATTTTTTTAGTTATTGCCCTTTGTTAATTTTCATACTTTATTTTTGTCCTGACCATTTCTCCTAAAGTACTATGAACTTGAAACTTCATAGGATGATAGATCTCATTAAGAAGAAGTGCAGTGCACAAGAACCAGTACTCTGCATTTCTTATTTTTTGAGTTATTGCCCTTTGTTAATTTTCATACAATGTACTTTATTTTTGTCCAGGCCATTTCTCCTAAAGTATAAAAGCTATGGACATGGAACTTCATAGGATGATAGATCTCATTAAGAAGAAGTGCAGTGCACAAGAACCAGTACTCTGCATTTCTTATTTTTTTAGTTATTGCCCTTTGTTAATTTTCATACTTTATTTTTGTCTTGGCCGTTTCTCCTAAAGTATAAAAGCTATGGACATGGAACTTCATAGGATGATAGATCTTATTGATAAGAAGTGCAGTGCACAGAAACTGCTGCTCTGCACTTCTTATTTTTTGAGTTATTGCTCTTTGTTAATTTTCATATTTCATTTTTGTCCTGGCCATTTCTCATAAACTATATTGTTCACAAGGCGACACATCCAACTTGCTGAGTTCTAGTTTAATTACAGCCTTGTATGACCTAGGTCAAATGCAAGTCTTAATTATTAACCTACATGTATAAATTTCTGGTAAAAACTGTCATTTTTAAATTGAAGAAATATGTAAATCTGTTTATGTATTTAGTTCTTTGAATTTATTGACTGGCCTGTGTAATACATGAAACATGCATTTGAATATGTACCCAAACCTGCCAGATATTGTGGGAGAAACCCAAGTATGTTATATTTTGTTAGCTCATCTGTGCACAAATTCAGACCTTTACCAGTCATAAACATTGTTTGCCATTAGATGTCATATGCATTGTGACCCCTGTATGCTTAGGACTTAGTGTTTTATAGTTGAAACTTGTTTCCAATATTGGGAGAGCTACAACACAGAGTCCTGTATGGTTGTGCTTGCTCCTCACAAAGTCTTTTAATACTTTCATGTAAAAATAGCTATTTCCCGGTATCTTATGAAAGATTGATGTTCCTATACAGGTGCCTAAGATAGTTCATGGATTGAATGTCACCATACAGTGTCAGTATTACTTTATGCACTTCAAGTAAAACAAACAAAAATCTGATTCAACAGTTTTATAACCTTTCTTAGTGGCCAAGTTCATGATGATATTACTTGACGTTGTTATTCAGAATGTCAAAATAAAAGATGAATAATGGATAATGTTAAAAGATTATTTTATTTCACTTGCAGTGTGTTTTCAAAGTACAAGTCATGCTTAAGGACAATAAAGAAACCTCCAAAATGGAAGAAGAAAAGTGAAGGGGATATAGAGGATTGCTTGTCAAAAGAGGAAGAAAAACAAAAGAAAGATTTCAAGTATGTTGTCTGAACTTTATCCCTTTACTTTTTATACCTTAAATATAATGGCTGTAAATTTTTTATAATTTAATTAACTTGAATTTTTCAGTGGATTTCTTTGTGTTTCTTTGTATGTCAGACTTAAGGTAGACCATTACTAATGCATTACCTCCACTTTGAAGAGTATTCAAATAGGCTAGAATCACTTGTCAACTGCATTGAAATTGAGGGGCATCGGCTGAAACCCCAGATGGGACAACTTTTTTTCTTTCTTTTTTTCTTTTTAACATAAATTATGTATCTCTCAGAACCCTTATGGAAGAAAAAAGTGTTTGATTTTAATTATATAATTATTGTAGGTATTTATTTGCTGAATAATGCCAAATTTAATAGCAAATATGAAACCAGATATTTTCAAAGTTTAAATACAGGTAACTGTCCTATGTTGTCAATTTTACAGTTCCTTATAGTATCCATTAGCCATGGTCTAACTTCAACCAAATTATACTTGAATAAATCATTCAATGATTTAACAAATACATGATTATTGTTTTTATTATTTTTCAATCTTTTTCTATGTCACATGTTTACATTTTTTGTAACTGATAATGTGGAGGATATTTTTTAATAATGTAATACTTGAGGGTTGCACTTAATTAAATGAACCTTATAGAATGAGATGTATGATAAATAGCAAGCTGTGGCTTGCCACAGACAAGAACAGATGCTTGTTTAATACAAATTAGTTTACTCAAGTAAGTTTGTATGTTCCTTACACTTTTCTAGTAACCCATTGTGGCTGAAGGGTTTCCTCTAAGGGTGATGGCATCAGAATTGCAGCCACTGTTTATCCCTGAGTAATCCTAAAAGGCAATTTAATGAGTTTAGAATTACTGGAGTCTATGCATTTCTTAGTTCCAGCAGATGAGGTGGTTTTGACCCCTGGTGTTGCTTTAAATTTGTAACACCTGAAGTTAGCCAATGTCATCTTTCAAGTTTAGGCCCCATATTACCTAAATTATGTTGTTGCACCATAAAACCAAACAAATCAAACCTTCCTATTAAATTAAGGAAAAAGACTGCACATGTGCATTATAGGTTAAAACATAAAATATTGTAATTTTCAGGTGTATGTTTGTAATGGGTGTACAGACAGTTATGAGAAATCTGGAGAGAGACAACTTGTCTATGGTGTTGCTATGGAAAGATATGCAACCTGCTGTGCTAAGGAAAGCTCTTTGCCACCTGCTCAATGAGCATGGTTGCCCAGCAATGTGTGTGTCAGATCTGCTGGTTCCTATACAAAAGTCCTGGCCTGGCCTCACTTCAGCTGCCAGTCTTGGTGTTCTGGTAAATAGAAAAATTTCCTCTTGTATTAATATTGTATTGACAAAACCTGTTTGTGTCATAAAATACTGAAAGAAGGCAGGTAAAAAGGAATTCAGACACTTTTATGAAGTAACCAGACATATTAAGTGCATGTTCCTTAGAATCATAACCTAGTCAAAAGTGCCTAAGTAATATTTTATCTGCTTATGTATAATACTTTTTGAGTTTAATGTTCCATTTGATGTCGGTACAGATTATCAACTTGTGTGCAAAATGTCACTTCATTAATTGGCATTTCTTTATCCATTTTTCCTGTTTGTGGAAAATGGTAAGATAAAAAAGTATTTTTCAATCAAATCCGGCTAAAATTAACAAAAGATATGATTTTTAGTGCATTTCCGATTATATTTCTGAATTACCTTTTGCATATCTATCTGTTTCAAGTGCCTCAGCGGAATAATGAAAGAACAGGGTTGCCAGCGGACTTGAAAAGTCAGGGAAATTGGGTATTTTTTCAAGGTCAGGGAATTATCAGGGAATTTTGAAATTTAGTCAGTGAAAAATGAAAATCCTGAAAAGTCAGTGAAAAGTCAGGGAAAAAGTTATTTCAAAGGTCGAAAAATTTACGCATTGAAGGTCTTTCTTGGCTATGGCAGTCTTTAAGCATTTAATATTTGACTTTATCACTCTCACAGTTAAGCATTAAATTCAAATAACAGTAAACTGTGATATTAAGAAGCATTATATTTTAACTAAGTGATTATAATACCAATTATTTACCTTAGAACATCATTCAGCCTACTGACTGAAAAGCTTTGCAGCCCTTGCCTCCAGAGCTGACTAATATGTAATTTCTGTTGCATAATTTAACCAGTTTCCATCATGTTTGCAAGACAAATCCTCTTGTACAATTTCTTAGTGTCAAAGTAAAAAGCAAAGCAGGTTATATGCCAATATGGTAGTTTGGTATACATGTATACTGACTAGATTTTGTTAGTAATTAAAAGCCCTTCCATGCTTTTTGCTTTGACACTAAGAAATTGTACAAGAGGATTTGTCTTGCAAACATGATGGAAACTGGTTAAATTATGCAATGCTATGTTTTTCACACTAACTTTTTTCACACTAACTTACTTCACTCATTCAAAGTCTTTAATTTTATAGTGATTATTTCATGATATGCCAAAAGCAGCCCTATGTTCTTGTTTTCACAATCAGTGGAGTTTATCATGATGCCTTATACAAGTAACTGTGTTAAATGTTTATTGTTCTAGTTATAGTTTAGAGATGTTTGAATTTTAAGTTTTGTCATACAAGTATTACTCTTATAGTCTTGGTGTTTTATGTGTTACTACTAGGAAGGAAAGAGTGACTTATGTGATTTCTAATACAGATGCTTACATTATGATTCTTCTGATTTTCATGTCATATGTTTCACTGACCAAAAGTCACACTGCGTTTGAATAGAAATAGTTAAGAATAGTAGAACACAATGTTTGAATCATTACTTTGATGTAAATGTTTTATATTTTGGAAAATAAATACAAGTTTACATGCAAAAATATAATGGGAGGATTGGACGGCTATAGGGGAGGTCAGGGGGCCATTTATGTGTTTGACGATTTTGGTCAGTGAAAAACATGAATTGGTCAGTGAAAAGTCAGGGAAAAGTCAGGGAATTTTATTTCACCAAAGTGCTGGCAACCCTGAAGAAATTCACATTGAATTATGAAAGAAATTCACATTTATTTTAGGTTTTTGGACCTCAGTGGTGTTCCTTTCAGATCTCTTTAATGTGAAACTGCATTGCCCAGAGCATGTAGTATTGCATAGCTGGCCTCTACAAAGGTGAAATAAGTCATGCCACTAACTTGATCAAAATTGGTCCCAACTTAGTTCTCGTAGACTTGTTCAGTAAAACATACAATGTATTTAAAAATTATTCTCCAAACTACAATGCCCAGAACTTAGATATTTTGCATAAAGCATAACTTTGTTGTCCCATACAATTGTATGTTATATAAATTATGCCCCTTGAGTGAAGATAAATTATCCATCTCCTGTAGTGCTTCTTAGCTTGATGTACACTAATATAGGAAGACATAAGTCTTGTATGGAACCATAATTACTATAGCTTAGATTATTTGGTATATGGCATTGCTTTGTGATCCTGTACATAAATCATGCCCTTGGGATAAAAAAGGTCCAATCGTTTTGTCACTTAGTTTAAATAGACTTACATGGTAAAATATATTTAAATCTTCCTAGTGTGAAATAACAATACTAAGAGCTTTGATAGTTGGCATTTAGTATTTCCTAGAGGACATCTACAAATGTTTTAGAACTTACACATTATGGGTCAAAATATCTTATTTGACCTTATCATTGAAGAATGAGACTTTTTCTAGCAATGAATCTCAGGTGAGCAGTCAAGGGCTATCATGACCGTCTTGTTTGTTGGTTTACTAAATGTACTTTTGTAGGTTTAGCAATGAAAAAAGTCATAAATATGAAACAAAGATGAATTTAATTTTTGTTTTGTTTTTTTACTTACAGAAAACTGAAGAGCCCAATGATTTCCATGAGCTCATTGAAATAGTTAGAAAACATGCACCACCACTGACAAAACTACAGGTGAAGGAAGACAAAGCCGTGAACAAACCATTGACACAACCTACAGGAAACATAGATAATAGTAGAAAAATAACTGATAAAGATTTAAAAACTGAAATTAAACTAGATACTATGTTTGCACATACTGAGAATGAAAAATCTGGCAGTAATTTGGAAAACCTATCTGTTAGCCCAGCCAAGTACTACATATACAAACCTGAAACACAGGAAAGTAAATCTTTCTCCGGACAAGATTTTATAGCGTTTGATGATAGGGCAGAGGGTAAAGGTCCAAGTGTTGAAACAATAAAAGGTGTAAGAATACAAACAAAAAGTATATACATTCCAAGTAAAAATCAAATTAACTTTGGAATAAGGCCATCTCTTGTAGATTCTGACAAGGACAAAAACATGGATTGTGAAAATATTCCTGATAAAAGTGATGTAAGAAAGGAAGACTTTAAAACAAATGATGGGAAGAGGAAAGCATCAGAAAATGAAAATGAGACAAATAGGGAATATAAAAAAATAAATGTAAAGAAATTTCAGAAAAATACACAGAAAAAGAGGAAAAGTAAGAAAAATAAGAAATAAATTAACATAACATTGGCAGACACTCAATTGTTGACTACTGATCGAGTTGTAGTACTTTGAAACTAAAATCTCTTTAATTGTTTTGTTGTAAACTTCTTACAAACTCAGATCATGTTATGTAATTGCTACAAGCCATATGTGTTAATACATTGTGCATGCCATGTGGTTATAGGAACATTAATATTGAATAATTAATGTGTCTGTTGATAATAAAAAATATGTGTCTGGTGATAGAAAATAAAAAAGAAAAGTTACATGATAATATTGACATGATAAACTGTATGACTTTTTAGCTCACCTGTCACAAAGTGACATGTTGTGCTTTTGTGATCGCTTTTCGTCCGACTTCTGTCCGTAAACTTTTACTTTAAACAACATCTCCTCATAAACTGCTAAGCCAATTTCATCCAAACTTCACAGGAATGTTCCTTAGGTACTCAACTTTTTTTCAAATTTTTTCAAAGAATTTAATTACAAGCAGAACTCTTGTTGCCATGGCAACCGAAAATAAAAAACTTAAAATATCTTCTTTTAGAAAACAGAAAGACCTAGAGCTTAAATATTTTGCATGAAACATCAACTAGTCAGTGTTTACCAAGTTTGTTCAAATAAATGCCCTTGGGTTAAAATTGGCCCTGCCCCGGGGGTCATTTCCTTATTTGTATATAGTAAAAACTTAAAAAATCTTCTTAAAAACCCAAATAGCTAGAGCTTAGATATTAAGAATGAAACATCTTCTAGTGGGTGTCTACCAAGATTGGGCAAATAAAAGCCCTTTGGCAAAAATTGGCCCCGCCCCAGGGGATCATTGATTTTCCTTATTTCTATATAGTAAAAACTTAGTAAATCTTCTTGTAAATAACCAAAATAGCTAGAGCTTAGATATAAAGCATGAAACAGCTTCTAGTTGGTGTCTACTTAGTTTGTTCAAATAAAAGCCCCTGGTTTAAGCTTGGCCTTGGCCCTGGGGCCTATATACAGGTGAGCGATTTCATTTTGTTGTTACTTTTTAAAATGAATATTTTTGTTTCTCATGTCTATTGCTTTATGTATAATTGTATATACATCAAAACACCAACACAGAAGATGTTGTTACATGTATTAAACAAACTTTTTAAAGCTGAAATTTATGTCAATTATTGTGTCACCTTGAAAAGGCGACATATAGGGGTTACTTTTGATGGCGGTGTCAGCGTCGTTGTCGGCATCCCCTAAAGCTTGTCCGGAGTTTAACTCAGTCACTATAAGTCGATTGACTTCAAACTTGGTATGCATGCTTTTTTCAATAACTCGAAGTGCAGTGCACAAGCACCGGTACTCTGCATTTCTTATTTTTTGAGTTATTTCCCTTTGTTAATTTTGATACTTTATTTTTGTCCGGGCCATTTCTCCAAAAGTATAAAAGTTATGGACATGAAACTTCATAGGATGATAGATCTCATTAAGAAAAAGTACAGTGTACAAGAACCGGTACTCTGCATTTCTTATTTTTGAGTTTTACCCTTTATTCATTTTCATACTTTTTTTTTTGTCTAGGCCATTTCTCATAAATTATAAAAGATAATTCATAGGATGATAGATCTCATTAAGAAAAAGTACAGTGTACAAGAACCGGTACTCTGCATTTCTTATTTTTGAGTTTTACCCTTTATTCATTTTCATACTTTTTTTTTGTCCAGGCCATTTCTCATAAATTATAAAAGATAATTTATGGACTTCATAGAATGATAGATCTTATTGATAAGAAGTGCAGTGCACAGAAACTGCTGCTCTGCACTTCTTATTTTTTGATTTATTGCCCTTTGTTAATTTTCATATTTCATTTTTGTCCTGGTCATTTCTCCTAAACTAAATTGTTCACAAGGCGACACATCCGACTCGTGGAGTTCTAGTTAAATAAAGCTTGATTCAAAATTGGTTCTACAGTCTGGTAATAAATTGCATTTTGAACAGTTTCAGCTATCTATTGTAATAAAAAAGTTTTCCTTGCTGGGTTGAAAATGAAAAACATTAGATAATTCAAGATATATTAAGGTGATAATTATATTACTTAATGTTCTTAAATTAGTTTTAACTTTAAAACTTTTCTCCAAACAAAGTTACATGTCCTACCAAAATACGTCTAAAATTTCTGTGTTTGAATCAAGACTGGTATACTGTATATAAGTGTAAGCCCATATTAAAATCATTTAAATCAACATTTGAAAATTATATCAACATGATACTACTTATAACAGTAACCATTGTGACTAGAAGGTGCTAGCATGCGGCATGATGTGTGGAATCTAAACAGAGATATGAGCCGAGTCACGACAAAACCAACATAATGGGTTTGCGACCAGCATGGATCCAGACCAGCCTGCGCATCCGTGCAGTCTGATCAGGATCCATGCTGTTTGCTTACCAACTCTATTACAAGTACAAGTGGTCGCAAGCCCACTTTGTTGATTTTGTCGTGGTGCGGCTCATGTTTAATCAGTCATTTAACTGTCTGAAATGACTGAAATGGAGACACCTTTGAATTCTTTAATACCATAAATGTCTTGCCTCCAAAAAATAAATCACTCCATACATTCCTGTAAGCAAGGATATTGCTTCTATTATTACCGGTATCAGGTACGTATATAAACGTACCTGCCGGTATGTAGTATTTCTTCTAGAGAAAAACCACTAACTAATGTAGGCAGTAATGTATGTATGTATGTAAAGTATAGTTTATAATATACATTTGTGGTCATAATTGAGAGCATTTCAATCAATAGATAGTCTTCAAAAAGAAAGACCCTGATCAATAAAAAACTTTACCCATTCAAAATTATACCTATTGGGTGTATTTATATATAACCATACTTTACAATATACTTTAAATTATCTGTAATAAAGAACAGATATTATTGAAACAATAATTTTTCAAATAATAATAATTATGATTTCTTCTAGAATGATTTTGATGAGGAAGACCAAATGGATTTTAACTACGAAATACCTTTGTTTAATAATTCTATTCAGTTTCATTATGTGGATAAATTTGGTGCCAAATGTTGAAGAAATTCATATATTTTACAATCGGGAAAACGCGGGAAAATTTTATCTAAATAGGAATCCTTTTCTGGTGAATTATTCACATGCTGAATCACAAAGAAATGAAAGCAAAGTTGCTCGAAGTGGCAGACTATTTCAGAGTTTTAAAAGATCTAATGTTTCCAAATTCGATTCTAAAGACTACCATTTACTACATAGACATAATAAAGCACCTGTACATAAAATATTTCAATCTTTTGGACAAGACTTTGGTAGCCAAATTAATGAACCGGACTTTAAGAAAATGCACGATTTCCAGCTTTACGTAAGTATTTCCCTATATTATGTCTGTAATAAAATATTATTGAAATACTATGTTGTGTCATCGAATTTCAATTTCTAGACTTTAAATAAGAGTATTATAAACCGATATATATTGACACTTTAGAAATACATGTATACGAAATGCATGAATGCTCACAATCCAGATGAATTTTTGAATGTACAATGCAAAATACCGCCAAATTTACTATTTTGATCCCAACGAACAATTAGTTTTCGAAAGCTTGACGGTTACTATAGAAACACGTCCAGACAGTGTTCTGGCTTTGTATTATTGAGACATATTCGTTAATTAAGTAGGACTCAGTCTCCAAAGACCATAGTTAAAACACTAGATTCAATGCTTTAAGTTTTCCGCTACAAAATGAGTTTAGCTCCGGAACCTATTTGATACCTAACAAAATTTTCCATTGCAGTTAAAGCCCCGGTATTTAAATTCGTATAAGAACCCATGCTTTTTAAAGAATGTGACTTTTGGTGCGCACAATGCATCCCGAGAGATAGAAAGGCTACAATGTGTTCCATTTTTCATGATTGTTGGTTTCCCCAAATGTGGAACAACTGATCTATGGTCCAAATTGAAACAGCATCCTCAAGTGTCGTGGCTACACGCGAAAGAAATTAATTTTTTCAACAAAAAGCAATATGGTGAGTTAAGTTTTAAAAATAGAAAGAAATAAAGAATCCTTAACGAAAGCACAAAACGACTAAATTGAAAATGTTGCAGGCTCGGTTTGATTGAGCCTGTTCATTGACGGTAATGAAAAGTGCAAGTGGAATTTTGAAACATCCACAGATGTATTGAAAATTTATTTTCATCATATGAAGAGAGTAAAGTAACAAAGAGCAGTACTGTAAATTTCAAGAATAAAATCAGATTTTTTGTTTTGTTTTAAAAATTCCTTAATCATACATGTATTTATAATAAGGTTGCATTAGAATGGCAAGATGGGTGCATAATCTTGTAACAATCTGTATGGTGAGGGAGATATCTTATGTGTGAGAGATATACTATGCCGTAATTTGTTGTCAGAATATTGATGATTGCTACGTAGTCTCTTTGTTAATATAAAGAAAACATGTTTTCACACAAAGTAGATATGTTATCATACTATAGGTGGTCTCAAAATGAATATATAGTATCACAAAAACAAATGATCTGATATAGGGATGAACAGGCTTTTTATCCTTTGATCGAAACACATTAACTAGGTTCAGCTAAAATTTCATCAGATTTCAAATTAATTTCTGTGATAAAATTATACTTTTACCCAGATAATGAAGTCATAATTTAAATAAACTTAAATGTAAGCCAGCGCCATGACAAAACAAACAAAATGGTTGCGAAATATGGATTAAACCAAACTGGTACCACTTCAGTTTTTGCATAGTAATCAGTCTGCTTGCTCAAATTTCTAATTTCTTCTAATTTAAATGTTTGTATTGCAACACATGGATCCTGATTCATATGCCGTTTTATTGTTTATTAGCATAGTTCATTATAAAAAAATTTTGCTCATTGTGGATTGAAATATTTCATGTTGTTTTGTTACTGAAATATTGATGACTTCAAAATTAGTATTGCCTTACCCAAACCATTGATGAATGATATATATGTCCTACATTTTAGATTACATGACAGTTGACAATGCTGTGGATTTTTACCAGCGTAGCATAAGTGCTTCAACGGAACAAATCAAGAAATGTGTTCCTGAGAAAATGAATGATTTAAACCCGTGCATAACTGGTAAACCACTTTCTAGGGGTTTTCCGCATATTATAATTATGTAGTTATACTTCTTAAAGCTCAAAATTATTATATTAATAACATTTCTAATTTAAAATGTACTTCGTACTGCAACCATGATTATTTCATATGCCGTTTTTTAATGTATTCTAAAGGAAACAAGATTTTAGCTCATGTTTATGTGGAACATTGTAAAAGACAATGTATACATGTACAATTGCAAATACTTTAGTCATACTGTAAATCACTACTCTTTAATTATAGGCTATTGTTCTTATCAAGCAATTCACAAAATAAAGAAAAGCAAGTTTATGTTAACACTATAATTAAGATTCGACTGTTATGTTTGTAACTGTATATTTGTAAATGTCCTCTTTTTTCTCAAAAACTATTACGAAAAGAGTAACCACGCCTATAGTCACACTGTCTGGAATAACAGACAATGTTGCACGGGACCGATCAAATGCCCGTTTTACTTACACATACATATTGAAATAAAACATTTAGGCATTCACAAGTGTTGAACATGGATCTTTATCAGGACATACAAAATTTAGTTTTGTTGTTGTTGTTGTTTGTTTTTGTTTTTTTTTTTCATTTTGAGAAATACATTATGGGACCTCATATATAGATAACCGGTGGGTGAGTGGTCACCCACTTCAGTACGTGAAGTGGTGATAAACTAAAATGTGTGTGTATTTTAGTTTATTAAAACTCGCCACCGCTTTTCCATATGGACGAGTCCTCCAGACGAGTATTAGTCATTTTGTTTTTTTATGGAAAGATACAAATACAGAAAGATACCCCAATTCCAGAATCATCTCCTGTTTTTTTTTAGCGTGCTAAGTGTTTAAACACTCGTGACCTAGATTTAAAGTCTCATCCGAAAGATTGATGAGTAATTATTTAGGAATTGGACACCAGCGTGGAATCGGAACATGACTACCTGAGATCACGCAACCGATTAACCTTCGCCACTAAACGAGCATGATAAACGCGGTGCTGAAATCCACTGTTCGCCAAACTTTCAATAAACTAACGTACAAGTCTTAAAGCGCCGGGGGATTGTAACCATTGTATGGGGGAAATAATTATTTTTAAGAAATAACTTTTTGTAATTTCAAAATTTTCAAATTATTTGCCCACTTCGTTTTAAAGAATAATCATTTTACTACGCAAAACGAAAAAATAAGTTTAAAAACTTCTAACTGATATCGGGTAGCTAAGACCCGCAGTAAATATTGGTTTCCAATTTTACTCTGGGTGTATTTTTTATTATCATTTACATAGTCTTTTGTTTTAAGTGCGACAGTTCATCCAGATAATTATATTTCTTAAACATTTTGAATTCGGTGGCAATCACAACTCGGCTTTCTCCGCGAATAGAACCAAAGGTACATATATCACACCACTATATTCGAAAATATGAAGGTCTACTATACATGTATATTATACGCACGAAATATACGTGCTAAATCTAACTCTATATTTGGCAGGAAAATACATTTAGTGTATGCACAATATTCACATACTACGAATTAAACTAACATTCAAGTAATAACATTAATATCTTATTTGTTTCTTTTCATGGATGAATTTAATTTTCAGGAGACGCTTCTGTTGACACTATTTTTGATAACAAATTTTGGAGACAGTTACCAGGCAACGATATAAAACTTGAACCTGTGCTCACAAATGCAGATTATGTCCACAAAGTTAATCCGGACATGAAAATAATCGTCCTTGTAAGGGAACCCGTTGAAAGGTAATTATTGTACAGGATGTAACTGTATTCAATGATATTGGCACCTAATTGATAACCTAATCGTCTAAAACATATTCTTGCATTTAATAACATACTACGACTCAAAAATTGCGGGGAAAATGGGAAAATGTTATGTAAAATATAAGTATCTTGTGATTTTATTAAAGTAAAACGGAAATATAAATTATCAAACTAAAGAAAATATTTTTGTGTTTTAATAACAATAAAAATCATGCAGTGTCTTATAATAGTGCAGCCAGCGCCCATGCACAAAATAAAATAGTTTGCCCGTTTGCGAACCACCATGCTGATCAACCAGATAGCCCTGCGAACTCCGGCGGCCATGTCTGATTCTAGGGGAAACATTTGCTTGTTTGCTTTCCACAACACCTATAAAAAGTAGAAGAAAACTTTGCAAAAATTAGCGAACAGCATGGAAAATTTTTGATCAACATTTCAGCAAGCGCAGTGTTCTGCTTTCTTTCATTACTAGGTCGTAAACCTCATTTACGTTTGGTTTTTATTATATATTAATGGATTGTATTCAGACTATATCTACATGTCATCATTCATTGGTTATGTTCCCAGCCCTGAGGATTTCCATACCACCGTAGTATACAGAATCAGAAACTTTACTTCTTGTCGACAACACCGCAAACTTAGAGCATGTGCATACGATGTTTATGACGATTGGAATATACACACTTACAAGGTTGTTCACAAAGATATGAGCCGCGTCATGACAAAACCAACATAATGGGTTTGCGACCGGCATGGATCTAGACCAGCCTGCGCATCCGCGCAGTCTGATCAGGGTCCATTCTGTCCGCTTACAAACCCTAAAACAAGCATAGAGAAACTGATAGCGAACAGCATGGATCCTGATCAGACCGCGCGGATGCCCAGGCTGGTCTGGATCCATGCTGATCGCAAACCCATTATGTTGATTTTGTCGTGACGCGGCTCAATTATAATATTACCGTGTATAATTAAGCACATTCTATGCAACACCAAGGTCCTGCTCTTACAAAAGCATTCATAAAATAGCGATGGCAAGATTCAAGTTTATATATGTAAGTGGGATCATTTTAACATAGAACATGTCAAATAATAAGCACTCTGAGTGAAGATCATAACAAACTGTTACTTGAAACAACATAAACCTTGATAACAAGCGACTGTAACGTGACTAAAGTGACAAAATAAGTAATTTCTGGTCAAAACAATTGGTTACGCGATATATGAAAAGCACTGTAATTTTCAGTATTAACAAAGTTAACAAACTATGACTAGAATGTGCCCTCTAATTTTAGGTTCGGTTAAGTGTGGGAATGTACTCTATATTTCTAGACGACTGGCTGAAGGTGTTTCCTCGACATAACGTTCTAGTTGTTAAATCAGAGGACACAAGAGGACGAAATGAAAGGAGCACGTTTAAGAAAATACTACAATTTCTTGGGCTAAGTAAAGATTTATTCAAACATAAACAATTTGATTAAACTAATTAATGATTTACATGTAAAATTAACTTTAGTGATAAGTTTCCTTAGATTATGATAATTAATTAAGGCTTCTAGCGACGAGAAAAATAAAGAAGATATGCATATTTTTATAAGTTTATATATGTTTCTTAATTCGGGGGTATTTCTTTGAATAACGCACTAGTTTAACAATGAACCCTCGTATTAGATAGGTGGACAATTTAAAAATAGGTGGACGATTAAAAAAAAAAGTAAAAATGCCTTTAATACTTTTGCTCTTATTCCATTGTATTCAAATCGAATGCAGGGAGTTAGTGTCTACAATATGTTACTAATGCTATTTAAGTGAAATTTAGAAAGAGTAAGTGCCTGCAATATTTATGTCTTACACATTACTACTTCTGAATGTGAGAATAAGAAATAGTCAATGTCTGCAATACTTTTAGTATTATTATAATCACAGTTACTAATAAACAAATACTCTAAGTCTTACTCACTGCTATTAAAATGCATGAATTAAAATTAGCTGGTGTCTACAATCCTCTATGTTACAATTATAAAGTCAATGTCTGAAATACTTAAATTATCACTTATCATGTTTTTATCATTTAAATTAATGCTTTTCTAAGTGAAAACTAGAGCTATAGACTCTAGTTGTTGTCTGCAATTATTTGAGTCTAAATCATACTCATTAACTGAGAGATACCAATTATTAGTTGCTTGGTACTATTACATTAGTCGATGGGCCTTCAGTACTTTAACTCTCACTCAGTTTTATTCTAAAGTGGTAATTGGACCATTATTCCGTATCGCACCATTTCACCTCGCTTAAAAATTATCGCACCGCTATACGTTCGACCCCCTGATTAGAAGTAGTTGTTGTCTGCAATAGATTGCTATTTAAAGCGAGAATATTTACCTTGAAAATGATAACTAGAAAGATGAAAGAATTCTACGTAAATTTAAATAAATATTGATCTACGAGTAAGTTTTTAGATCATATCAACTTAACGATTTTCCGTTTCGTACTTTGTATCTTTTTTATCGGTCAATGCGTTTCTTTCTTATAAATTTTCACCGCTTAATGATAACGATTTATTATTTTTAACAATTAAGAGACTTGAAATTTCGTTTTCTTTATTTTATTTTATAATTTTTATTTTTTGAATCGGTTCATTCATTAGTTAGTCTTGTAGCTATTAACAGGCTTGCACATAGCTAAGCTGTCAATTGAAAATAGAATCCTATGTGGTACGTGCTTGTTATACTATTTATGCACGTGCCTACTGATGTGAACATATCATAGTCACGTTTGTACATGAAAGACAGACAGATAGACAGACAGACAGACAGACAGTGTAATACATTGTTTTTTTTTAATGTTATTGTTGTTCTGTTGTGTTTTTTTTTTTGCAGTCATGCCGACAAGAAAGTATATTAGCGAAATTAACAGCGAAAGGACATACAATAATCAAAGAAATGCGGACAGTAAACCGATGTTAACAAAAACAAAGTTAATGCTACACGAGTTTTACAAGGCGTTTAACAGAGACCTTCAAATTCTCTTGCCACATATACAGTATTAAGGGCGGTTTACAAAGTTGAAATATATTTATATACTTCACAAAGCTTTTTTTTACTATTTGTCAAACTTTGTTCCGCATTCATAAGGTATGATTGTTAATAAACCTTTTTGGTAACAAAAAATTCCTAATATCGATGTCCAATGAAGAAAAACTTTGAAGTACCAGGAGAGAAATAACACATGTTCTCACACTTTACACATCACGTGATAACAAACATAATTATACTAGTTCTAAGTGTCTTCCGTTTTGAAGCTGCCAGGATATGGAACAGTCTCCCTAGTGGTGATATCAGAAAAAGTAGAAAACTTCAAACAATTTGGGAGATTGATCGACACCTGAACAGGTCCAAGACTGAAGTATTCTATGTGTCGCTTGCTAATCTTTTATTAAACACAATTGTCTTTTACTTGTACTTTGTGTGTGTCATATGGTTCATGACTGTGTAAACAGCACGTTTTTATATATTTGATTGCATTATTTATTTATTTATTTATTTATTTATTATTCTTAGGTTATTTGTTTGTCTGTCCCAGTATTGTAACATCTTTGCTTTATATATGTTTGTATATGATTATATGTATAGTCTTTTAATTCTGTATTCTTATACCTATAGATAGCTGAAATATCCTGTAACTCAATTTAATTTTTTTATGGTTTAATATTATAAATATAATGCTCAATGAAGATTTGTCAATATTGTAAGTTCCAAAAGGCATTATTAGTAAATATATTACCAAATTTACATTTCATGCTAAGAAAGGCAGATAATTAGATTTTTTTCTATAAAGTCTATGTCAAATTTTTCAATTAGAAATGAATGCATGTATTTTAATGATTACATATAATGTGGACAAATATTTGCAGTACATATTTTACATATTCTTCGATGTTTGAAAATTGTTTTAGAAGCATAATTATTTACATATATAAAATTTCACTTAAGTGTGGTAACAACTTTAATTACAACATACAGGATCTTAAATATATTTTTTTATTTTGTTTTTATCATTATTTGCGTTGTGTGATAGTGGCCTGCAGCTTTCTTGTTTTTATATACATGTACATGTGACTCCACTAAGTTTTTGTTGTTGTTATTTATTATTATTTTTTTCTTTTGTTGTTGTGTTTTTGTTGTTTTTTTATGTTGTTGTTGTTGTTTAAACTAGCGGGACTTGAAATATTCACGCCGTTTTACCGGAATAATCATTTTTATTAACAATGACCAAGATATGACGACGTTCTTTCACTAAAACTGGAGTACTATCGATTATAATATAATTCCGAATATGTTTTTATATTATATACATTTATATTATTGTCCTTTGTATGTTTTTAAATATCATGTTTTTGGGCAGTTTTACCTCAATGGACTTTCTTCATTGAGAAGGTTCAGTTTCAATTGAGTGGACATGAAATACAATATTATAATTGTACATTTTTCAAAAAAATGTAATTTAGTCTTATGCAAAGAAGAAATAAATAGGCTATTTTTAGGTAAAATGTATTGAATAAATCTGGTGGTATTCAACTTTATCTTAATGAGGAAATAGACAGCTGGCTATACAAACGTTTACAACAACAATTATTTCGGTTTGCAGTGGGATAATTATCTTGAGACAAGGAAGGACTTGAGAAAATTGTATATCGGCTCTAGATCTTTTTACTCCTTAAATATTTCTTTCAGAAATACTAAAGTATTAAAATGATGTTCCGGGCGACTTTGACAAATCTTATAAAAGGAGAAACGAAGACAGATTCATGACTGGATATATGAGCCGCGACACGACATAACCAACATAGTGCGTTTGCGACCAGCATGGATCCAGACCAGCCTGCGCATCCGCGCAGTCTTATCAGGGCTTACCAGCCCTATTACAAGTAGAGAAACTGATAGCGAACAGCATGGATCCTGATCAGACTGCGCGGATGCGCAGGCTGGTCTTGATCCATGCTGGCTGCAAACGCATTACGTTGGTTTTGTCGTGACGCGGCTCATATTAATTTCTCAAAGACAATGGCAGAAATAGTGTTTGTCTCAAACATTTCAATAAAAAAAGTTCTGTTTTTTTGGTCAGACTTTAAAAACAACGAGATTGTATACATAAATAAAAATATATACATGCATATGTAGTAATAGGCAAGTCTGTATGCTCCAAATTAAATGATAGAGAAATAATACATGTACTACTAAATATACAACATCTACCCAATAGATCTCTTCAGCACATATGAAGCTCAGATGGAATTTTGACCGGTTATTCCTTTATTTTGAGACCAATCTCAATAAATGTTTCAATAAAGGTTTGTTTGAATGTTAAGCATCGTGTGGTGGTTAGATTTTGTGAAACTTTTGTGAAGCGACATTTTTTTCATACGCATTGCATATTTTTTGGGCGTACCTGAAATAATATCTCGATGAAGACTGCATAAAAATCCGAACAAAAATGGATAAATATAGAGGAAAGCCAGGAGGGTAGAATCACATTTCGATTTTCTTAAAAAAAAGCTTTGAATTTTATAAAAATGTTTAGAATGTTGAAATCTAACCCTGTGATTGACCTTTTCTTCTCCTTCACATGTCGAGTTATACTGCACATCTGGAGCAGCGATAATTCACATATATTTTTTACCGATGCTCAATTTTGAGATCCATATGGGGTTCCACCCCCGTGTTACATTAAACCCCAGTCACACTAGAGCTTACGATAACTTGCGACCACCGGCGACTTGTAAAACTGGCGATCATCAGCGATTGTCTGCGACCGAAACCATTTTTGCACAGATAAATTTACTTTTGCGAGTATCGTAAGACAAGTCATCATTGACAATCGCACGACGGGTCATAAGTAAACGTACGATGGTCTCAAGATTGCGTGGGATTACTTACGACTACCCGTGACATAACATGCGATCACCTGCAACTTGTCGTACGACCATCACACGATTACTAAAGACTACTTAAGATTATCAGTGACTAGTGGCGATTTGTAAAGACTGTCGTAAGATTGTCGCACTTCCGAAAGACCATCGTGCGACAGCCTTAAGACCTTATAAGATCACTAGCGACCTATTTGATCGCAAGGAGGTTTTTGTGCAAGCTCAAAAACCTCTCTACGACTGAAATTGGTCGTGCGACCTAAATAAGATAACCTGCGACTGTCAAAGATCATCGATGACCGTCGTAAGACGTTTTAAAGATTGTCCGCGACCAGAGGTCACTGGTGATCGTGAACTGGTCTTCACTGGTCGTAAGCTCTAATGTGACTGGGGCTTAACAAAACAATCTTCTAGACCATAAATAAAAAAAAAATAATCTTTTAACAATGCGTCCAGTAAAAACTTAAGGGATTTGATACATTTCATAGTATACCTATAAATACTATTCATAAAGTCGAATTCTTGAGCTTTAAACAAACAAGAAAACACCATTAAAAACACAAACACAAGAGCACACAAAAACAAACTAGAAAACCAGCAAAAAATGAAATTCTGATTGTCAAAACTAAGTATGTTTGTCAAAATGGGAATTTCTTTTTTTATTAGGAGTTTATACACTTTTGTCTGTGTACGATGTTTTTGAAATATTAAACATAATAATGAACAGAACATAATTGTATTAAAATAATAACAATCGCATTTTACACTTTATTTGTGCAGTAGCTGTGATGTTAAATCAAGTATTCAGCTAAATGAAGGGGAAAGAATCCACGTCACGACAAAACCAACATAGTGGGTTTGCGACCAGCATGGATCCAGACCAGCCTGGGCATCCGCGCAGTCTGATCAGGATCCATGCTGTTCGCTTACCAACTCTATAACAAGTAGAGAAACGGATGCGCAGGCTGGTCTGGATCCATGCTGGTCGCAAACCCATTATGTTGGTTTTGTCATGACACGGCTCAAATGATTTTTTGGCTATCAAATAATTTTCTTACACACTTATAATTAACCACTTAAAACATATTGAATGTCAACTGAAAGAATGAAATCAATTACAATGTATGGTGCATCCTTTTGCTCTTTTAAGCGGCAAAGAACACATGTGTACATTTTTTATTTTAATATAGCAAGAACAAAAACGATAAGAAATTTTGAACATACATGTATTCAGTGTTGAACACAGCACACAAAAACATACACTTATATGTAATTCATCCTCAATACCTCGAAACACAAGTACAACACCATTTACGTCTTTGAAATATATATCATACATCGTGAAAGTCTGGTCTTATGCAAAGCGTTATACCACTATGCACATGAATGAATAAAAAAGTACATTATTCACCATTATCACCCTCAATTCGTGAATTTGAATGTACAGACCAAGAATAAATAAATCTGTTGAAATTGCCAGTCCAGCAACTCTTTCTAAAATTTATCAGCTTAATTTGTAATGCAAGATTATATATTGGCCCCTATTATTTAGAAAAAAAAAACACATAAAAATCTTCAATATTATACTTTTTTGTCATGATACTTTCTTAGAATGTTTTACACTATTCATCCATTCCATTCATTTGATTAATTTATAACACTGTACGTTTGTAACGCGCTTTTCAATGGAGAATCGTAGCGTTTATATAATCTATATAAACTGCTATTATAGTAATTTTCGTTTTTCTTCAAATGCATAATTATGTTCTGCTGTATCATGATTCGTAATAAAGATGTCTGACATGTACTATGGTCATGTATAAACGGTTGTTTGCAATATAAACCTCGACTAGCCAACCATATAACCTAACGCTTATAACTATTGAATTAAATACAAAAATAAATAAAAATAATAATAATCATCAATGACACCGTTCGTTTCAAACTGTATGATTTTACCATGGTTAATGATGAGCTCAGTGAAAGCGTAAATAAATCATCTTACAATCTCACAGATGAAGTTACGCTCATTAAAGCACCCATCATCCCCCCACATAAAGTTTTTTGTAAGCATAACACAGTGTTCTTTTCCATTCTTGTTGTTAGGCTGGTTGTTACCCCATACCTTAAAACTATTCGACTTCAATTGTTTTAGACTGTACGACCACACGAATGTGCCCTCGACGGCTAAGTCATTCAGTCCTATCCAGAACGGAATAAGTGTGGTCACTTGATCTGAAATTTAAAAAAAGAAACGAGTTGTTAAAGGGAGAAAACTTATCATTACATTTCAATAAGGAATAAGCACTTTGTCCTAAAGATGTGAGGTGTATAAAAAGTTCATAATTCCAGGGACAAAGTCCTGAATGTTTTGATTCTGAAAGTTTACGCGCAATGTAAGATTATATTCCTTTTATGTTACGAAATGGTCATGTAAAATGCAAAAAATATTAGGAATAATTAATATACTATTATATATATTTTTACTTTAGATCTATTAACATATGAGTCGCGTCACGACAAAACCAACATAGTTGGTTTGCGACCAGCATGGATCCAGACCAGCCTGCGCATCCGCGCAGTCTGATCAGGATCCATGCTGTTCGCTGTCAGTTTCTCCACTTGTAAAAGAGTTGGTAAGCGAACAGCATTGATCCGGATCAGACTGCGCGGATGCGCAGTCTGGTCTGGATCCAGCTGGTCGCAAACCCACTATGTTGGTTTTGTCGTGACGCGGCTCATATGTATTTATTTTATGTATATGACAAACAACTTACTAGTTATTTCAGTCGTAAGAAGTGTATGCTTTTCAGAAGTCAGGACCTCAACTAGATGTGCGCCAGCATCAGTACAGTACGTCTAATAAAAAACAAAACAAAAACAAAATACGGGTTAACAAGACCATGATACACATTCTTGTATCATAGTTTGGAGACCTTTCTGTTGAAAATTAGGCAGAGTTAAATTGTATACATATACATGCACAGTGCGATAACTGGAGTGCAGGTATCAGTTACCCGCACTCCAGAGCATGCCCATAGATTGGTTCATTTTTGCTGGGGTTTACTTATTGTGACGGCAGAGAAAGGGAATGCGACAGAAATATCATATTCAGATGCTCGTTCATTGGTTACTTTTTTGGGGGGTTTTATACTGTGACAACAGGGAACGTGTTTTTATGTTTAATAGAAAGAACATCAAAACACTCGGCAATCTGATTAATACTCGGGGGCTACGCCCCCTCGTACAAATCAGATAGCCTCGTGTTTCGATGCTCTTTCTATTACTTATCACTATCACTATTGCTTATGATAAATGCAATAACTAAATATATTAAACTAGACTTCCTTTACTTTGTCTATATCTGTTTGTATAATCAGGGTCATTCAAATAGTTTTGAAAGACCCTGGTTTAATAACTGCCAATAAAGACCGAAAAAGTACGGTGAACTAAAACTGGCAGAACTGGGTTAAGAAAGTATCGACAATAATCACCATTTTAGACAGAATTTTCTGTCTTGTTTCTTAATAGTTATCTTGTTAAGTTTTTTGTTTTAAACAATCATGATTGAAAAAAAGAAGATTTTCTTTCTTAGCGTGAAAAGTATTGTTTCATTTCCTTCTCTTTATTATAGCAACAAGAAAATAAGAGTGGCATACGTACCCTTGCCTTTTTCCAAGGTAATATTTCTGTACTGAAGAAAAAGCAGTTAGACTCCGTTGTTATCCAACCGGAAGGACAGGCAGGAACTGAAATGAATATTTTATATTGACGTGTTTAGGAATAAGATAATGCAATGATCACAAATTTATATGTTCTCTGTTACTTTGAATACAGAACACAGGCAGAGCATTAAGGTTACCATGGCAACAGTTCATTTTCTATCCTAATGACAACACCATTAGTGGTTTTATTTTTTGATAACAAATGAAACAAATCCTAAGTAAAAACAATACTTTTGACATCATTGTTTGGTTTCGTTAACTGCATTTACCTGGTTTTGTTGTAGTCGGAGTGGTTTTTGTTACTTCCGATGTTATTGGCCCTGACGTGGAAGTTTCAACCGTACTCAAACCATCCGTTGTGCCTGACGAAGATGTTTCGATTGACGTTGAAGATTGTGAAGATGTTTCGATTGACGTTGTAGATTGCGATGATGTTTTGACTGACGTAATTTTTTCTGTTGTAGTCTTCACACCTCCAGTTCTGGTGTCAGTCGATGACGTGTCTACGGACGTCATAGAGTTTGTCGTAACCTCAGGTGTTGAGTTTGCTAATGATGTGTTGGCTGAAGTCACATTTTCCGTTGTCATATTTCCAGTGCTCGATACTGTCGATGATGTGACTTCTGGAGTCGTCATATTGTGCGATGTATTTTCTTGCGTGCTGGTAGAAACAGTTCTTGTCGTTTGTGTTACAACTGTCGTCGTGGTCGGCTTAACAGTCCGTCTTGTTTCATTTGAGACAACAGCCGACGAGGAACCTCCTTCTGCTAGATCTCCTTTAGTTTCCAAGTGATACACGAGCACTATACACGTAGCAACCAAGGATACAACTACCAAAAGAAGGGCGACCACTACAATATAGAATTTCGATTTTGTCATATATCCAGGCGGCGTTGTTCTGTTATTGTCGCTAGAACTCATTCCTTCAGCCATGTCAAAACTTTCTTTGCTTCGATATATACCGTTTGTGAAATTTAAATCATCCGTACTAGCCATTCTATTATGATTATACTATTGTAATACAACTTACTATTTCAATAGAAATGCTTACTTTGATTGAGACTTGATAGATTATTGAATTTATTGAGAAACTGTCCAACTTCCGCATCACTGTAGACCAGTTACTTTCCGGTCAACTTTCGAACCCGGTAAATAAACACGTAAGTATTTACGTATGGTAGCATTAAATATACCAACGAGTACAGAACAGTAGGGACAAATTGACATACATGTGTCAAACTACCTCTACTTATTTTTGTTTTGATGTAAAGCGGCTTTTATAAATTAAAACTTTATTACTTTATTAAAGTCACTTAGCATATTTTTGAACGCCAATGTTAGATTTCTCCATATGCTAATTTATTTATTTCATTTTATAGATATTATGATAATAAATATCATTATCGATCATCGTTATTTATATAATTGAAAGTTTAATTGATGCCCCACTTCCTCCTCCCTCCCCCACCCCCTCCCCCACACTGTGAGGAAGAAATAGTGATGCATTTACGTTTCTATAGCTAATGTTTATAGAAATATGACATTCTTGACCTTATGTTTCTTCTTTTAAGAGAGATATTCCGAATATTGTTTAACCCACTGTTTAACCCAAAGGAGCCTACATACTGGTTTCGACAAAACATGGCGGACGATGTGCCCCGTAGGCGCCACTTTTTGAGATCTTTTGTCGTCCATTTTGTTATCATTTGGCATTGATTCTCCGTTCTGATTGGCTCAGGCCATGCAGTGTACTGTAGATATGGTCAAATCTTGTTAATTGTATATGTCGCCGTCCAAGAACGGCGGCAGTAAAACGGAACTATTGAACGTCTACGTTTCAAGTAATTTAAGGCTGATGCAGAAAGCAATTAACATTGAGGAGTGCTATGCAATAATGCAACTTATGCGTATATATCATACAGCTTTTAAATCTTATGTAGATCATTTTTCCACCTAAGCTGTATCATTTAGCTTGACTTCATGAATTACTCAGGCGAGATATGAATATATGTAGTAATTACATTAGTAACATTTATTGACGCCTTTCAAAGTTACTCATTGCAAGGTCATATTTATATCCAATAAATCACGCGGCCAGAAACTGAAGTGGATAGCTCTAGCGCTGTATTTAATATCAAAATGACCTAACATGCAGATATCGCAATTTATATGTAATAAGCCAAAATTAAATGGTTTACATTTTTACATAATCACCCTTCAGACAAAAGGTCTTAGGTCGCAGTCATTTTTGCATTATGGCCATGGTCTACGAAATTAGATTACAAACAACAACAAATAGTAATTATAGATATTGATGTTATTTCATTGTGAATTATTTTTCTTAAAAAGAGCACACCGATGTATTTTTCTACATATTAACATAATGGGGTGCATTCTTCACAATGTATATGTATACTTGTATATGTCGACACTGAGCTATATTTAAATAATATGTCTCTGATTTTGATAGAACGAAACATTAAGAAGTGAACTTGGCAATGAACAAATGAAACGCCTTTTATAAGTTTTTATTTTCCAAATCACCATAAAAGGGGCTACACTTTGATCACATTCCATTTGATTTATCAACAACTTAGTGAGGAACTACCTTCATGAAACGTATTTTCATTTGTTTCCACATTTCCACCAATCAAAAAGCACAGAAGGAAATAGGGCAACTGATATAATGTGTAGATAGCGCGTATTGATATATAATTAAGTGGTTTATCTGGTCAACATCGATTATTGCGCACTTAAAATGTAATCCGGACAAGCTCAATAACTGACCAAAGACTTCCTTATTGTATTACAAACACTTCTGAATCAATTGACAAATATATAACATCGATAATTGTTTTAAAATATTTGAACATGTGTTGTTTAGATTGAAATGAACGCATTTTTAAAGAAAATGAACACTACTTTAAGACATTCTGTCGTGTAACAGAGCTTATCAATTGAAATAAGATCAAGAATGAATTTAAAGAATCTAGTGATTATTTAAGGACAATTATGATGAACATTACATAGCTGATCGATTTCTATTAATTATGTCTGTTTGAGACAAGATTGAAAATTGCAGCGTCATTTACAAGTTCCTACTATCGATTTGAGAAATTTTAAAAATAAAATTCAAATAAATCGTTTCATTTTTGCACCTTATAAAATATAACCTATGTACTTTCAGCGTTTGTACCACGTGATCTTTCAATATAATCTTCCATAGACTCTGTCTTTGTCCATTTAGCTTCGTTTTATACAATAACTCCGTTCTATGACTTTATACTTTACTAATCTATGATGCATCACATTACAGTAAGACATGCAGTGTCTTATAAAAACACAGGGAAGTTTTGCTTATACCATTTGCATGTCATTTAAAATCAAATGAAATAGACCTATATAATCATGTAAATTTGTTTTTTCTTACTGAAATAAGTTTCTCTGGTTTCATCTTGTTCCTTTCAGGTTCATAGGACCCCACTGAACATAATTTTCCGAGGTAAATGGGCTATCCTTGTAACCATAGATCACTTTTAGCTGCATACGAGTACATATTGGTACAAAAGTTTAGATATCCTCTTGTATCTAACATCTATTTTATCTGTAAGACAACAATATAAATATGCTAGTTATGGTGGCTGATTTTGAACACTTTTGTGCGTCATGCTGTCGCTACCGACAACACGACAAAGCTCCAAACGGCGCGTTGTCGCACTGTCGTACTGTCTCAAACGATGCACGCCAAACGGCGCATTGCCGTGTGTCGTGTTGTCGCGATATCACATTGTCGCATAACAATAAAGGTACTTGTTAGTTTGTGTGGGGCGACCACCGAAGTCCAAATAGCTGCTACTATAGTTGTAATGATATAAATCGTACTGCATATTTACTGCATAGCATAATAATTCCTGGATATATTTCAGAATGTTATCATTACAAATTTTTCAGAGCTACATCCCTTTCCCAGTACGGGACTTTTCACTGTGAAATTATCACATATGATTTTTATTCATAAATCAGTAATCTATTCAAAAGCTTAATGCTTTTTTTTCAAAAATGTTTACGTTTGGCAACAGCCGGGCCGTTGTTTCTTTGATCAAACGATAGCGTTTTTCTTTTTACAATACAAATGAGACTTAAAAGATTTCCCAGGATACGATAAATGAAAACAAAATAAGAAAAAAGGAGAGTACATGAAAATGATACATTAAGAACACGCTTTTTTATTTTTATTATTCTTTTTTATTCATTTTATTTTTACAAAAAGCATAATCAAGTATTTAATCAAAAGTTAATCGAATACATAGATATAGAGGATATTGAATGAGTGTAAGTTTAATAACGAGTTGAATGCGAGCCTCTGGCGAGCATAAGATTGTTTTATTCAACGAGTTCAATAAATTTAGTATTGAATCTACACGAATATAATATTCTATTTACCACATATATAAAATAAGAACAGTAAGCTATTAAAATGAGTAATTTTTCAATGACGCGCCTATAGTGTAACGCTAACATTAGCGCTCTTTAAAATAGCGCACATGACGTCCGTATTGTGGCATGAAAATTACCATATTTCACTCGGTGCTACCGCCACTCATGAAATATTTATTTTCATTCCACTCGATGAAAATATATCATTTATTTGTAGAAAGAACTTGAATTTTCTGTTTATTACATACATTTTTCTCCTTTTTAACATTAAAATTTGAAAGACTTTTCTTGAAATTTTGTGTACTGGCAGAATTTCAAAGAAAGTAGTCCGGCAACACACCAGTGAAAATACAGAAAATATAGTTTTCACTGCAGTGAAAAATAAATTTTAAAGTGAAAATACGGAAAATGATAATAAGCATTTTATTTCATCGATATTTCTCAATATTTCATTTATAAGTTTATAATAAAAAGTGTTATTACACTAGTGTAATATCGTTTATATTAAATGGCTTTATTACAATCCTGCGACGCGGTTTATGTGATAAAAATAGTTAAGAAAATATATACATGTATAAACAACACATCAATACGATACTAGTAATAAAGATAATAATGTTATCTTTGTCTCAAATTTTCTCGGTGTTTCTACCATTATGATCCTCACCTTGTGGCGGCTGTAGGTCAAAACATCTTTATGACAAATTGATTGTGTGCGTGTGTGTGTGTGTGTGTGTGTGTGTGTGTGAGTGCGTGCGTGCGTGCGTGTATGTGTTTGCGCGCGCGTGTTTGCGTGTGTGTGTATTTACTCCAATTCATAAGTCCACTTAAATTTACAGTAACGATATTACAATATTAAAATCTGGATCTAGTGTGATCTCTAGGAAGCATTAATCAAAACAAAATTACATAGAGGATATTTGTTTGTTTGTGTGTAAGATGAAATTTTATTTCATCGAGTGGGCTTTAAAAACAGTATTCTCACGAGTGGCGTAGCCACGAGTGAGAATACTGTTTTTAAAGTTCACGAGATGAAATAAAATTACATCTTACACAACAAACAGACAAATTTTCTTTTTATTTTATGCTTTAAAACAAGTTAAACGAAATTTCCATAATTTTAACGTTGATATTAAAATCTGTTTCCCCCATTGAGAGCCCCATTTAGAGGGAATTTCTCATTAAAAACAAGAAGTCTTGAGCTGAAAAATAAGTCCGCCAATGGAGGTTAAATGAATGTGATATTTATTCATTTTATTAAAAAATATGAATGATCACTTGTTTTAATAATAAAAACAAACAATTCTTGTAGGAGAAAAAGTCCAACCATCCATCCATATTTCTGTTACTTACTGCGAATTTATATTAGACCTGGCTTTGTAAAATGTAAACGGCAGCCATTTTTTAAATTCGTGTATTTCATGGGAGGAAAATAATTTTGTAAGATACAGAAGGATATAATTTGGATTTGTTAGTCATACACCTTTTTAAAAGAAAGAAAACTTATTTGAGGATTGTAACAGACAAAAAATAAGTGTTGACAGAAGTGAAAACATTCAGAAAAGGAGCTAGGAAAATGGAAAACTTGGAAGTTTGCTAAGGCATT